GATGGATCTAATCACCGACACTTCTGGGAGTAACGGCAGCACTTGGCATGGAGGCGGGGAGGCGCTCTGCACGAATCTGGCTTCGCCCGGAGGAAGGAGTCTGTCCAGCGGCTCATCCTCAGCTCTCTCCCCCGCCCCCTCCACCACGTCCAGCGAGGACCTGTGTTCCGACCTGGACGAGACCGACAGCGAGCACAACCAGAGCTCCATCGAGGGCTTGGAGAACAGGGAGGCCCTGAGCACGCCTACCATGACCTACCCTCGGTCTATGTGGAGACCCTGGTAGGGGTCTGGGGTTTGGATTGGATGCAGTTGGGATATGTTGAAGCAGGCTTTCTTTTAAGATGTGACACTGGGCCTCTTACTGGAAGGGAAAATTCCACCCTACAACACATGGACTCAAAAATAACCATTTTTTTGGTGTACCATGCATTTCTGGGCTCATTTACTCCTGCAGATAACTGGCCATATGCATGGATTGTTTTTTTTCTGGATTCTTCACATTGATGTTCAATATTCAAATCTGATCTAGAAGACACAGAGAGACCAATTTGTCCACTGACAACAGCCTCATTTGACCAAAATGCAGTGCAACCACAGATCACTTTGTGCTCTGTGGAGGGACCATGACTGTGGCTTTACTCCTCGCCCACAACTGAATGCAGCAGCCTCACCATGGCATTCTGGGAAATGTAGGACACCATACCGTGAAGCAGACAGTGCAAGTTTTCATCAGAAAAATACACCTTAAGTGCTTTGGATGGCACAGAAAAATGTCTAAAGGTTGGAGTTTTCCTTTATCACATTAGAGGGGCCCTTCCTCTCAGGGGCCCCTGCAGCATGGGGCCTCTTGAAAATACTCCCCCTTTCCTTTTCAGTTGTGACTCCCCTGGCTTTGAGTCATGTGTTGTGACTTTTCTTTACACCTGGAGCAAAATGAAATCTTCCCTCTCAACACTCACTTATAACCCAACAAAGGACAGACAAGGAGCAGTTTAAGTTCACACTTTTTTGTGTCAGTAACTCTGTGTGTATATAGGATTTGTATGTGGAGAAAAGCTCTTTTAGAAACCGAGAAGTTTGGCAATGCCTCTGATTAATATAAATATTTCTATTGTATTTCATAAGACCTGTAGTTTATTGGACCAGTAGCCTCCTCCAGAATGACCACTTTATGTTGTAATGATGTCTAGAAATTCCATAAAAATGTCTGAATTTTCTAAATAAAATAATGTAATTGAAAAGCTGTGTGACTCCACTTAATGCAATATGGTAGGAAACAGGATAAAAATAGGTATTTGATGAGATTAAAACTATTTATTGTCAAAAATGTACTTATATCCATTGCTGTTATCTCAAAGGATGCCTGACTGATTTGTGTAAAGTGATTTAGGCCAATAAGAGACTCAAGTTTGATCACATGGCCCATTCAATCACAAACACCTTTTAAACAGCAAATAAGTTGGCATATCCAAATAAAAGAAATCAAGTGCTTGTGCTGTGCATTTACTGAGACTAAAAGTCTTCTTTGATAAGTTGAACGTTAAGGATGTAAAAGTCACTTTACAAGATGATGTCGTAAAGATAAGCTCTCCTCCTCCTACCTCGGACCTGCAGTCCCTTCCCACCGGGAGGACGCACGGTGCAGTGCGCGCACATGAAAGAGTCGCACCTCTCCAAGTGTCTTCACTCTCACCTCATATACAATGAGCATATTGACAACGGACTGTTAGATCCTGTCTGGACTGTCTGGACCAGCCATCAACCTACAGCAGAGCAATGTGGCCCCTCACTTTCCTGATATAAAATGAAATGGAGAATAACCGGTTTCCAACCGGAAAATACGCCTTTTCTCTCGTTTTTCACAACATAGTCGAGACCAATTAGGCCACATCTGATATTGGGTGAAATTCACACGTGGTTCACTTTGTCTGTTGTCAGATGATGCTAGAATCTTGAAGGGATAATGAACAGGGTGGGGGCGGAGGTGGAGGGGGGGGGTGTGAACGTCGGAGGAAACACATTGAAATGGGAGCGGAGGAGACACGGTGATCAAAGCTGCGACCATTTGACAGAGGAGCGTCAAATGGTCGCAGCTACAAAGGATACAGGCAGGCTCAGATTCTTCAAAGGGACCAACCAACCAACCAACACACACACACACACACACACACACACACACACACACACACACACACACACACAGGCTGCTGCTGGTCCTCATGGCTTTTGACTGACACTTGATCACCTAAAGACGTGGTGCTATCAGGGTGCAGGTGCTTGTTGGTGGCACTTTTTAATAAGGGTACAAATCATCAACATGAGTCATGCATTAGCATGCATCATGATGATTTATGCAGGCTGTATCATGGATTTATGTTGCTCACTACAAATAAATGATCATGGCTCTTTGATGTTTTGGGATTAGTTCACACCTAATAGATCATCATTTCTATGTGAATTAACACAATGTTCCTCATACATTCATCGAATCAACCAATTAGATGGATTCCTCTCACATAAAAGCTTTGTTCAGGGCTTTACATTTGCTCAGCCTCTTTGATATAACTTCATATTTCTATGAGAATAAACCCAATGGCATTCATGACACATTTACAGACAGTGAGTGGGTCCTCTGCTTAGGGTATTTTTAAAGAAAAACTTCAAAATGTGATGGAAAACATATTCAGATCCTTTACCTAAATAAAAGTATCTCTAGTTCAATGTAACTGTTTCTATATCAGAGAGTGTTGTAATAGAGGTGTATTTATAAATCCTATAGACCAAGTGCATAATTTATTTCAACTTGACATGAAGGTGGTGCACACACCTACACATCTGATCTTGGATGGATGCATCCCTGATGAAACGAGGAGTTCTCTTAATCTGCTGTCCCCTAATGTCCCCAGCAGTTCCTAGTTTAACATTCAAATATGGGACATCTGTCTTTTACTGGAACTATTACTTCTTCAGGCGTTCTACTTTTGGTCTTTTGTAGATTACAGCCAAACCCTGGTTCAGACAGAGTAAATTAAATTACAGTATACAATGTCCATAAACATATGCTTAGTCCCCAAACACACCAGCCATTGTAATTTTGGACCGCTTTGTAGTTTGAAACCCTATAGTGTACGTTCCAATATATGAAAGGAAGCAGGTGGGTGGATGGGTGTGGATGTTGATTTTAAGGACCCTCTGCCAAATTAAATTACAGTCACACCCCATTCTGTCTGGTCGAACCAACACACCACTGAACTGAAACCGCGAATAAAGCCATAACTTTTATAAAAAATCAAAAAATGTAGCCAAAACATTACAATCAAATATAATTAGAAATTCCTATTATTACAGGAAATAGGCCACCACCTTTAGGATATTATATAACATTTAGTGTTTTTGTTAGACTATATGTACAAACCAGAGTTCATGACTCTGGGAATACTTCCCACCATCAAAACCCTGCATGTCAGCACAATCTAACTGACAGATGACGGGCTGACCACATTACCAGATTTAGCTTTAGAGGGGGAAAAAATCAGACAGGAGGACTTTTTCCAAATGCATCAGCTGTGGGTTTGTGAGCGTGCATATGAATTCTGAGGTTAAAGGTCAGTGCAGTGCAACAGTTGGCGTGAGAGCAATTCAACGGCGGAGGCGAGCATATGGTACTGAAACACATCCCCGGGGGAACCCTGCCATCCTTGGGCGCTTCTCAACTGTCTTTGACTGTGAGAGAACAATCACTTCCTATTGGGCAGCAGCGGCTTATATGTGCTGTGTGCAAGACACACTACACTTTGGACTGACATAGAGCTAAAATAGATTAATGGATTTATTTTCTTTGCAAGAAAATGTATATTCATTTGAAGTGAATTGAATTAAAAGAAAATGCATTTTGATAACTTTCTATCTATTGTAGTCCCCTTCCCCTCAAAAATATATATTTATTATTGTTCCTACACTGTTTGAATGTTGTATGTGCAGAGTTTGACACAAGAAGGATGTTTTCACATTCATCTGCTGAAAGTGGAAAGTTTCTCTGTGCTCATTGAAAATTTTAAGTTTTTAAGGACATAAGAGCATGATTTTCAGACATTTGTGAAGTCAATCCTGGTCCAGTATGCAACTTATACAGTGTGATGTAGAAACTTGAGAATGGACTTTACAGTGAAGTAGGAGACATCTTGTGTCCAGCAGGAACATTTACATAATCATAGATTCTGGTATTTTAATGAGGTAGAAGCAGTAGATGCCTTTTTAAAGGTTTCAACGTGGAAATTAAACTTTATTGTGTAAAACATATCGGACACACATTACTGTTCCAAGTAGATTATTTATGTCGGATATTTAAGTTATTTTTTATGCTATAATGTGACATATTTGATGGTTCCAGGTTCTCAAATGTGAGAATTTGCTTTGGTCTTACAATATGATGAATATGACACCTGAAGATGTCATCTGGTTTTCTAGGATATTGTGATCTGTATTTTAAATGTTTGTCCGATATTCTATAAATTAAACAATCCATTAATTGATGAAATAATCAATAGATAATTTTCAGCCCATTTATCACTAGTCTTACGAACATTAGCAACCCGTCTGGTATCAGAAACCTTTCCACATGATTCATATCCTTTGACCTGTCTTACAAAAGAATGGTTTCATTTAATTTATGGCATTGTGTGTAAGAGGGCAGGCAAGTCTGCATGGTCATCAGGTGGTCACCCTACCCTCCAACAATGGAGATATAGCCATCATCACAAAGCATGTTAGCCAGTGGCCAGGCTTTACACTGCCATCCGCCTGTCAAAGACATGGCTCTAATGCAGTGAAGCTAACCAGCCCAGTAAGCTGGTCTAGGTGGGCTAACTAATATGCTAAGCTAATCAGCATATACATGTTACTAATACTATTATAATTTATTTCCCCATCATTGTTTGTAGTGTATGACCTTACTCTGCTCAGCAATGTGCAAGAAAACCACTCATCAGAGTCACAGGTTATATTTCTGTAGTTTTATTACAACATCATTTCCATATCTCAAACAAACACATCTTATCTACACAAATGCACAGAACTGTGCTAGTTTCATACCATAGACTCATACAGTGGCAAGGAAACAAATTTACATGACTTGACATGACTGTACGCAGCATTGTGTGCCTGTACCGCGTGTATGCATTTACAGCTCAGGGTGCTACCAACGGCCCACCAGTGTGTAATCATTTAAAAATGGATTCCCTCTATAACAAAGGTAAGGCTTCAGCACTAGCGCAGCATCATTCTCTGGCTTACTTTCAGCATTCAGAACAGCTTATTTCCACATGAATTAACAACATTCTTCCATTCTTAATAGTTTATACACAGGTGAGCATTGGAGGCCCCCCTCGAGATATTTTGCACAGAAAAGAGACAAAAGGTGGTGACAGGTGGCTGTCCTCTTTGTGCACACATTCATTCAGAGAGACAGAAAGCAGACAGAGACTCTCTGTACAAACCCATCATTCACCGGAATCACTTAAGTATCTGACCACTCTGTCCATTGCGTTTGCCCACATGTGTACACATGCTATGTTCTGCTTAGAGTAACATGACCTGGGATTCATTAGAGGTAGGGTCCGTCCCCAATGACACTCAAAAGCCATTACTTTTGTCAAACAAATAAAATAAAATATGCAAGAGAAAAAATAGAAAAATAGAACAATAACAAGTGAACGAGAAATTAAAAAAGAAAGAAAGAAAGAAAGAAAACCATGAAAACAAACTAAGTCAGTGAGGTGCTCTTGGTCCAGTCCGTGTTACATTCACAACAGTTTCTCTGCTGTAGCACCAGGGTTGTTCCCAGTTCTCGTGCTGTTCACCTCGACTGCATGGAGCCAATGTGGATCACAGTTTTCTTAATACTTTATGTTAGATGACGAGGGGCTTGCATGGTTGCTGATGCATACATGTCACCATTTCCTGTGTAACCCAGGGCCCTTTAGAAGGTCACTGAGGCAACATGGTCCCCGTATTTGCTACAATTGTAATGCTGTTTACCAATCAAAATCTATATTTCAGTGCTGATGCCAAAACATATTTGACCCAAAGCCTTTACATTACTCAATGATCTGTGCTGCAGAGATGTATGACTTACAGTCTTTCTGGTGGTGCCTGAAAAATGTTTTGTAAAAAATAAAAAGTGTATTTATATTTTTTGATCCAGAAAAATACATGTGAGAAAACGAGCAGAGGAAATGTCTCAGAAGTGGAGAGAATATATTTTTGCATAAAGTATAAATAGTACTGGTTTGTTCTAAAAACGACATTTTGTAGTAGAGACGCACCATACTGACACAAAAATAATATTACTCAACAGTTTTTGCAATATTCTGCCATGTACCTCGATATAGTTTCTTAAAAAAAAAGAAAACAAAATGTGCCATTTTAAGATACAAATTGGATGTCAAAAGGAACTTGTTAGTTTGTATAACTACGATCCTTTCAACCTCTGCTTTTCACGTAGCAATTCTGATGTTGACCTTTTTACATAAGCAAAAATATTTCAGCAGCTTCTTAATCTGTGATGATGTCTGCTTCTTCATAGCACCCGTGCTGTTTTAAGTTCGGCAGATGCCTACAACACTTTGAGGTTAATCTGTGAAATGGACAAGCTACCTCCAGTTACTCAGACACTTGAAATTTCCTGTTGAGTTAATTGTCAACGCCTGTAAACTGTTCATATACAAGTACTGAGCTGAATGGATTTGGCTTTAGCTTAAAAAATTCTATTCTAGATACATTATCTGGTAGAAAATAAATAAGATACTTAGTTAAATGATCATCTTGCACTACGTATCAGATTGTCACTGTTGTAGAAAGTTACGATCCGCCTTCCGTTGGCTGTAGAGTCAGGTTCTACCACTGCTGTAGGCGATAAACACTCATCCATGATGCAAAAGCAGGAGTTCCTGTCCCTGCCCTTTGACTGGGACTACATCATCCTATGAGCACCACATCGATTCTAAAAAGTTCCTAGTGGGCAAAAACAAAAAGAATCCTGGGGTTTGAAGGACTTGAATGGCAAAAACAAGAAAACATAATGTCTGGTACTATTTAAACAGCAATGCTGGGCTGCTTGTTAATAACATCTTTAAATAGTTTAATTACAATTATTTTGTCAATATATATATATATTTTTTTTTCATCAAATATATTAATATGTCCACTATTAACTCTTTCAGAATTGTAAATCCTCGCGTTGCTGTAAATCTCTCTGACAAAGCAGATGTGAAAACAGTTAAATAAAAATATATTTGGGAGGCCAAAGGTCACCAACCACACAGGCTGGGTCCAGGTCATTTCTGTGAGAGTGCTGGCAACTTCAGCGGCAGTCCTCCGCACAGCACACACACACACACACACACACACACACACACACACACACACACACACACACACACACACACACACACACACACACACACACACAGTGAGCGGCACACATATTCATATTCATTGACTGGCAACAGAGTTCTGCTTGAGTTCATGTGTGTTTGTCTCACATCCACATTGTGTGTGCGTGTGTGTGCATCATGAGGGTCCATGGCTGGTCAAGTGTGTCCCCCTGCTGGCCATGTGTGTTCACGAGCCAGTGTCTGGTTGAGGCTGAGACTCCTCTGATTGGTTCTGGGCGTTCTGGCTCTCTTGGCGCAACTCCTCGCCCATCTCGCCCATGTCCATGTCTGGCAGGTCCTCCTCGATGTGGGTTGCTGCTGCATCCTCACAGTACACACACTCCTAAACACATACACAAAACCAATGTTAAATATATATAAATGAGACTTTCTGCCAGTGAGAATTGATGACATTAATGTGTAAATCTTCTTATAAATCTTAATATGTTGTTGCAAACAGATTTTTGACTGATCCTGACCTTCACATTGATAGCAGCAGGTAGACCTCCCCTCCTCATCCAGGGGTGTTCCTCCACTAGTTCTCGTCGCTGGTCAGACGAAAAGTGAGGCTGGCTCTTCTGCATCTGTCTCAGCCTCTCCTTATCATCTCGCAGAACCTTCTGAATGTCCCTGAGGGTCAGCAAACACACACATTACAGTTTACCGACAAGCTTATACATATAATGGTTCACTGCAAGTGTGGAAAAAACAGAAAGAACTTTTAAGCAATCAATCACGAATAAATACACATCATGAAAAAAATAATAAAAAAATATATAAAATAAAATCAGTGGCTTACCTGGACGGCATTTGATATGTCATCATGACCTTGTCGTCAGCATTGGCCATGAGCAGCCAGAGGGGCTCCTGGAGAACGTATTTAATGAAATGCTCTCCCTCCCCTTGGGTTGAGACCTTGGTCTGTGACCGACCGCCTTCAGAGTCTCCTTCGCTTCTCGTCTTGGCTTTGGCCTTGGCCTTGGGGTCATGTTCCAGGGAGTCAATACTGCCAAAGTATTTGCTGGTGTTGCTGCTCCCTATGCACAATTTAAAACAAAATAGTCTTCAACACATGTACTTTTTATAGGAAATACTGAATTTTACTTTACAGGACCTGTCAAGCCTGGGTGTTCATCTACTGACCTGTTCTACTGCCTGAAGCTCCACTAGCTGATGTACCACAGCCTGAGCCCGATCCTGACCCCGATCCAGAGCCCGATCCAGAGCCCGATCCTGAGCCCATGGAGCCAGAGGTCGCTGATCCGGTGCCGGAGTGGGAGTCCTCCTGCTCTTGCAGCAGGATGTCAAGCAAGTCGCAGGACGAGGAATTACCGTCGCTGTGAGCCCCATCTCCTGGAGACTCCACCTGAAACACAAGGCAGCAAACCATCAGAGATAAACCCTCACACTTCAGTGACATGCCGTGACAGGCTTTACATGGAGGTGTTAGTGTGTAGCTACTGAAGCTTTTATAAGACAGGATTCTGATGTGTCTCTCACCTGTATGTGGTTTTCAGTCTTGGTGGTGCCTCCGTTCTTCTCCCCTGATGCTGCAGCTGTACTGTTGCCAGCAGAAGGCGCTGTGCTGTCCTGCCGTTCCACTGAGCGCTGTCCCTCCTCCATGCTCAGCAGATTGAGCTGCAGGGGCGAGCTGCACCGCGACTCAAACAGCGGTGGCGACGTGGTGGGCTCCCTCGCTCCAGAGGCTGGGGTGGAGGAGCGTGATGCTGCACCCTCTCGGCCTAGGGCTTTGGGGGGCTCGGTGGCTAGGCTGTAAGGGAAGGGCTGAGCTGGATATGGTGCTTGAGCCACAAACTGAGTCTGCACTGGGAAAGAAGGCTGGGCAGCGAAGGGCTGCTGGGTAGTGTAGGCAGTCTGAGGGGCCTGGAAAGACTGCTGGGTAGTGTAGGGGGTCTGAGGGGCCTGGAAAGGCTGCTGGGTAGTGTAGGGGGTCTGAGCAGCCTGGAAAGGCTGCTGGGTAGTGTAAGTGGTTTGAGCAGACTGGAAAGGCTGCTGGGTGGTATAGGGGGTCTGAGCCGTTTGGAACGGCTGCTGGGGGGCAAAGGCAGTCTGCACGGGAAACGGCTGTTGGCTGGTGTAGGGGGCTTGTGTTTGCATGGTGTAGGCTGGTTGTGGGGGCTGAAACGGCTGCTGAGTAGTGTATGCAGGTTGTGTCTGGGTCTGCTCAGGGAAAAACGCAGGTCTAGGAGCAGCCCCCAGCTGCCCTATCTGACCTAACTGTCCTATTTGGGGGAAGAGGTAATTGGGTAACACCAGAGCCACCACAGGTGTAACAATGGGTGCAGGAAATGGAGTGGCAGTAGGAGGGGCTTGGGTACTCTGCCCCTCTCCAAAGCCTGTGGAAAGGGAGGGGTCAGGGTGGGGGGCCTGAGAGGGGGCAGCAGGTGCAGGGGGGTAGAGTGGGTAGGCAGGCACCATAGCTGGGTAAGAGACGTTAAAAGCTGACTGGGATGCTTCTGACGGGGACCACGAGGTTTGGTTGAGACCCTGGAGAGGGGGGCGGGGTTTGCGGTGTGATACAGCGCTGTCTGACGAATCAGGATGCTTCATCCGTGACTTCTTGGACTTCCTATTGCGAATGCCCTTCTTGGCAGTAGTCTCAGGCCTGGTGGTGCCCTGTTTGGCTGCACCTCGTGGTCCAGATGATTCTGAGATGGAGAAGACAGACAGTTGTTTTTCAGAGATGGCAGAAAAATTCACAGCTGTTGAACTAGAAACTGGCCTCACCAGCAAAGAACTAGGAACTTGCCTGCCTATATACAAATATAGAATTGGGTACTGTGTGAAACCTTCAATTTGGAGATACAAAGGCATGTGGTTACCTTTAGCGTTGGCTGACCCTCTCTGCTTGTGCAGGTATGTGTAACAGTCCTTCTGGAAAGACCTGGCGTTGCGGAGCTCTCGGCAGCGGGTGAGGAATGCCTGCTCTTCCTTTTGAGTGTGTGCAGCCAGCACCTGTTTGGTCAGTCCTAGCCGCTTGTAGGCCTCCTTTTCCTGGCTGGGCGGAGACACCACGCTGATGGGCAGAGCCGGGGGTGCGGGGCTCTCTGCCACGTCCTCAATAATCTCTGCAGAACAAATTGGAGCCATCAGCATCAGTCAAACAGCACTTATTATCTAGCTGTTGGATGGATACACATTTGGTTGTGTTTGTTTGCCTGAATCACTTATATCAAAGAATGGACACTCACCAGACTCGGGCTGAGGCTTCTTGTCTCCCACATGGACGATTGTGCTGCTGTAGCTGCACTGGGAGGTGATGGACACCACACTCTCAGCCTTGCTGGGCAGGGTGAGGGGTGCCAGGGGTCCTCCCACCACAGCAGCTGCCCTAGATGGCTTCTTTGGTGCTTTCATGTTTGACAGGCCTGGCTGGGCGGCAAGCATCAAAGAGTCTGGACGGGGAAAGAGAAATCCACTGTTAGCTCCAAGCTGTAGATGATTACAGTCTGACTGCTATCAGTAAAGTGGGTGAACTGAGTGATTGCAAGCAACAATGAAAATGAACAACAAGGGAGGGGGTCTGAAATTATAGATGGTGTGTGACTTGTATGATGTGTACATGCCTGGGTTTGTATCTTGAGGCACTTGCATGCCATCGTCTGAGCCCTTCTTGTCATCATCAGAGTTGGAGGAGGTGGTGTTGGAGGAGAACTGGTACTTTCTCTTCACTGTGACGGGGATGTTACAACTCTCCAGGTACCTGAGAAACATAAACGGAATTGATCAGAAAGTGCTCACTTCACACATGTCGTCATCATGATCATCATCGTTCACTGAACACAAACACCAACCCTTACCTGATGACGCTGTCGAGGCAGCTGATCTGCTGGTAGGAGTGGACAGTCTGGTCTTTGCAGGGGAAGTCTTCCACGCTGTCTGCAGTACTGTCTCTGACCTGCAGAGGGGGCGGCGAGTCCTTCAGACGTACTGCTGGACTCTTCTGAGCTGCTGCTGGAGAGGAATGAATGAGAAAATGTCAGAAATACCCCCACACACACACACACAAAGACTGGCAGGTAAACACACAAAGCTAAACACAAAATATAAAATATGTATCAATTTTGTTTGATTCTGATTCTTGTGGCATTGTAGTACTACTGTATGTACTATATGTGCAGTAGTTACCTTTTTGTTTGATGTTTTATGCACTTGATGTATTTAATTGAATTATTGCACCAATAATATAATAATAAATCGTCACATTTGTAATTAGTGGCTTTCACTATTTTAAATAAGGGAATGACAGAATGGGTCTATCTATCTACCTGTCTTTTAAATGTTTTTGGGGAGCAACTTTTTAGAATTTTGTTTATGTCTTTGAGGGAAATGTGCATGAAAAACATTTTCTACCACTGTGACATGCCACTTGTCACTAATGCTTCAAAGACTGAGTGTGGTTATTTGCACTGACAGATGTTTGACAGATGATGATGTTTGTGTATAGTTCACGGTTAAGAGTTTCATCCCCTGAAATATCAGCCTTACAATAAATGTATTCACAGAAAGGTGCCTGTTTGGTGATATCAAACTGAACTCACTGTCAGTGGTCTTCCTTTGCTCAGGCTTCAATGGCGACGGTGAGGCCGAAGGGGAAGGGGAGTGCAGGCAGACCTGGGAATCCTGGTTCTTCAGCATGTGGACCCCTTTACAAATCTCCTGGAATGTCCTGGGAGGCTTGGCTTTGCCCGTCTCCTCCGCCGTCTTCCCTGCAGTGACGTTCCCGTTGCTCTCGCTGGACGAGCTGATGCCCACCAGCTGCTCATGGGAACCGTTGCTGCCGTGGCTGCCATAACCGCTGGAACCTACGTTGTGGATTGGCTAAGGAGAGAAAAGGTTGTTACAGAAACTGACAAATGCCTGTATGAAAATGTGTATATACAACTGTGTCTGTGTGGCTACATACTTGGAGTAGCAGCCTGTGGATCTGTTCACTGATTTCCTGGATGTCTGAGTCCATGATCTTCCCTCCATGGAAAGCTGGTGCTGCAAAAACATCTTCATTCACGGGACCCCTGAAAAACACACACACGACTGTCATCTAGCATGTTCAAAGTGAAATATATCCCAACATATCACTGCTGATGAACCTGAACTAAAACAATGCATTGGGTGCACTCACATGCGGACTTTGTGCCTGCCAATGACAAAGGAGACCTTGCGGCTCCAGGGGTTGACGAAGCTGGACCAGCTGGTGTCGATGGTGATGTACTCGCCATTTCTTGCGCAGAAACGGATCGAGGAGTGATCGAACGGCTGACCGGCATACTGCAGAACTGTGGGCAACAAAGGACATTTATTAAAACCTGATAAACAGGGATGGAACACAACTGAGCTGTTTTCTATTTGCCCATCTTTAACTGGTAAACAATGAATGTGTGAAACCTGGAATGAAATCAAGTCAATGAAAGGGGTTCTTACTCTTGCGATGCACAGCCAGCATCAAGGGTCGGTCACTTGGGTGCAGATTGAGGAGCACAGGGGTTCCAATCAGGTCCTGCGGGAGGTAACCTAACAGAGGAACAGCCCTGATGGAGAAACAACAACAATAACAACGTGTTTAATACAATTAAAAACACATCAACTATCAAAATAGTTAAAAGCGATTTATTTAGCAGTTTACAACTGATCGATTAATCGACTCATTGTTGCAGCTCCACTGACCTCTCATCCACATCCTGGAACACACAGTTTGGTGTGTGTGTGGTAGTGAAGATACGCTTGTCAGGAGGGATTCTGGGTGCTGTGGAGAGAGAGAGGAAGGGAAAAAAAATGAATTGGCCAGTAAGACAAGCAAATGGTGATCATTTAACATGAACAGTTTTATTTAATGTTTGTACTATCCATCTAAACCCCAAAAGACTGTGTGTTATATGACTGAGTGAGGCAATGCAGTAATGAACACAACAAATGTGACTATGGTTGCAGGTCTCACCTTCGTATCCAGAGTGCACCCTCTCAGCCAGCAGGAGGCAGCAGAACTGTTCCTCAGCCAGCTCAGCATCCTGGACTTTCATCAGGTAGGGAGTCATACGGAAAGGATAGTACTGGAGATCCCCTTCGCGCTCCTTACCACCACTGCAACACAAACACACACACCATTAAAATACTGTTTTATAGTATTGGAGTATTAACTAAAGAAGCTTTCAAAAATACATTTGAGTTTGCCCTTTATTTGTACCATTCTTAAAAAGAATCAACAATCTGTGTATGTGTATTGACCTCTTCACTGTCTGACACATCAGCGCCTGTAAGCTGTAACCTTTTGTAATTGTTATAATATATTATTAGGTAATTAAGGCTAATGAAAATTTTGAATTGGTTTAAGTCCTCCTTTTTTAAAGATTGCATACACTTAAATAAAATTATATTTTTTTGTAGTGAATAGTTAAAAGGATCTTGCACACGAACACTGCACTTAAAATAAACTGCAGCTGTAAATGTCTTTATTTCTGAAAGGTTTCTAATTAACCATGTACTCTAATAAAATATTAATATTTATTAATATTAAACTGTGGCTGTAACACTCCATCTGGTCACTAGATGGAGAAACAGTTTAAAAGCTCACAGCTGCTGACTTCCTCCCTCCTCTCAGTCACACTCTCTCTTGCTCACCAACCCTGTGCTGAGTCAGAGCTTGTTTGAGCAGGAAACTATGGATCAGAGAAGCTGCCGGCCACTGGCACTCACCTGATGCGGCAAAAGAAGGATTTCTCCTGCATGCACTCCGTGGGAGACGACTCTGAATAAGAGACACGAAGAAGGTGGGATGAATATATCACCAGATTGACTACTTCCAAGAGAGCCATCTGTTAGTCATCTATATTCAACACACTGTTCACGGGACCTGAAATGTCTGTCTTTCTTCCAAAAAGGGAAGAGGTAAAAAAGCAAGGGAGAGTTTTCTACAATTATGAAACTGAAGTTTGAAGATTCATTGTAGTTAAAATACTCTGAAAAAGTGTGTTAATATAAAAATACAGCTGCTTAACCATGACTTAAACAGCTTGATTACCCAGTGATCCCTGCAGAGCAACAATGTTTTCACATCACTGGACTGATAGCAGCTCCCAAATCCCCAAGTGACCACAAGCTGTTTAAGTGAGACTATAGAAAGACAACAGTGGCTAAAGTGGATTGACAGTGGAATACTATTATAGGAAGAGTGCAAGACCCCAACCAGCTTGAAAACAGACTGAAAGATTACATAATCTAATGCAGGTGTACATTTGTTTTTGAGTTGATATTTGCATGCAACGGCTCCATAATTGACAATAGACACAAACCAATACCTCTAAGACAGTGTCAACAATAATTGAAGATTTTAAGCCTCAGAGAAGTTGGATTTATTGCAGAGCATCTGCAGAGGTTTACATTATGAGATTTGCAGGTGTGACTTAGAGCTTCTGACTGTACCAACACCAATACCATCATGTCTTCAGCAAATATGTAGCAGGTGTGCGAGTGGGTGTGCATTCATTAATATGTGATTGAGCATGTTAATGAAATATGTGCTATGTGTGTATGAGCATGTGTGTGTGGGTGTGGGTCATGTGAAGGAAATAGATGCTTGTGTGTGTGCAGGTGACTGGGGTCGTGTTTCGAGCGGGTTCTCCACGTGCCCTTTCTTGGTGATGGAAATGTACGACGCATTCCCACTAGTGTTAATATCATTAACGAAAAGCATGAATATGTTCGTCAACAACCTTTATTTCCACAACTAAGACGAGACGATGAAGAGAACAATTTTACTAAAAGCGAATTAAAGTTAAAAGTTAAGTCTAGGCTTTATTTACAGTAGAATAGTTCCATAGCCCTTTGCAATGGGTAACTGAAGCCATTATATCTTCAAAGCCACCAGACTCCTTTGACAAAGACAGTAATTTTCCCTCATAGAACGCAGGAGTTGCTTGTCCACTGCAGCCTTGATCAGTTAGTCTGTTTGCGTTATTGTGTGAGTTGGGTGTTTTAAAGGCATAGTTCTGACCCGAACTAAGGTGTTAACTAACCAATCGTGGCAGTGGTAGAGCAGCAACTCCTGCATTCTGCAAAGTAAAATTACAGTTTTTCTCAAAGGAGTCTGGTGGATTTGAAGACAGATGATTCTGATTTGTGTGAATTTATTTCTCCACATGTGCATTTAGTTGTTACGGGTTGATTACAGCTTCACCTACTCTGAAGATATATGCACTGGGAGATGCTTTATTGTGAGAAGTTATAGTTAAAGTTAAAAGGGAAGTTAGGTAACAGTATAAGAAGTGACAAAGTCCCTTTGGGCAGGAAGATGTGACGGATGAGTGGGTTAATTCTGGGAGACTGGTTTGAATCCGCTGTGTAAAATTTTATATTCATACTGGCATTTAACTGAAAGATTTGGATGTGGTTTTAGGCTCCAAAGTGATGATAGGCTATTATTTGCATATTGTAGAGGAAAAATAATTCACAATTGTAAATCCCAGTGTGAACTGGTCTAAATCTGAATTTTCAATCCTCAAATATTCATTCAAGGTTTAAGCTAAGAGACAGCTGGTACCTGCTCCGGTGCACATGCTCCATGAGGGCAGGCGGTAGGGCGTGGTGAAGCTGTAGAACACACTGACGTCCTGAGGCGTGAGGAACTCCACGAACTTGGCATTGTTAAACACTTCCCGCTTGCAGTTCAAGATGGATGCCGCCTGGTCCGAGATGTAAACAATCTTCCCCGTGATGAGTGAGACGGCTACAGCAAATATATCCTGCCGGTGAAAAGATACAGAAAAATATTAACAAATCAGTGAGTTAGGCATCTTTGCATTTCAATATGTTCTATCACTGAAGCTGTATCCTCTCTTATGTAACTGCACTTTTGCAATATACTTTTTGGCTGTTCCTTTTTTCCCCTCATTGCAGGGTTAAAATCAGAGGTACTTACAGTGTTTTTGAGGGTGTATTCGGAGGTGATGCTGTTGATTTCCTCGATGGTGTAGGAAGATACATCAAACCCTGGTGGCTGACTGTCATTAATCATCAGCATCTGGTAGTATTCCTCATTGGCTGCAAAACAAAGAGAGGATGGATCAATGCACATATCACTTCACACAGTGATCACACTGTGGGCAGTGGAGATACTTTTCTGAGCATCATGTTTTATCTCATAACCATAAGAGATTTTTTTGGTAATTGTTTTTCATGCAATATTCACACTCAAAATCAGAGAATATGTTTCAGAGTCTATGTCCCAGATCGGTCCAAATTCTACAAGATTTTTAATTATCTAAGGAAAATGTCACTTTCTTCACCAATGTAACAGTCGTCAACATCGCTGATGTACAATAAACAGCGAAGTGAATACACAAATGAGCATGCATGAAAAAAGTGCCAATGGAAGCAAGTCTTACCTTTCACCTGTTTGACACATCGCAGCGCATATTTCAGCGTGTTGACAGTACTGGACTTGCCCTTGCTCCTCTTTTCCGACGGCAAGTGCATCTTCAGCTCCTTTAGGGTCTTGAACAGCTCCTTCTGTGTCTTAGCTTTGGCTGACTGTTCGCTGCTGCAGGGCGAGCATGAGACAGATACACGTGCATCAAAATGACAAGGTCTCACCAGTGCTGTCACACTATGAGGAGCACAGGAGGGGGTGGCTACCAGTATGTAAGGGGTTGTGGTATGAGGGGATTGATTGGCAATGGGATGTTTTGGAGTTTGAGAACTTTCTACTGTTGCATACAAATATAAAACTCCTACTGCCGACACATTTTACATCTAAGGAGGAATAAAACAAGTAAACTTCTACTGGCTCAAGTGTATCAAATGGTAAGCGTTGCATCTCCATTAAAACCGAATTATGAAAGGTAAGATGTAAGATGTAAGATGTAGACTAACCTGCAGCCGCTGGTTGAAGGGTTGTCCTGCTCGGAGCTCACCAGACTGAAGGCATTGGAGCTGCTTGGCGGTGAGGGGCTGTGAGAGTTTGAGCTGCAACCACAGACAACATATCATGTTATTGAAGGTGTACTGTAAAGGCCACTAAACAGAGCATTATGACAGGGCAGTTAGAGTGGCAAAACAAAACGTAAGATAATAAGTCAATAACACCAAGTCCTTCACCCACTTAATTTATTTAGTGGGTGAAGGACTTGGTGTTATTGACAGGGCTTGTACTGCTTTTTAAGAGTGAAATCCAAGCACTTTTCAAGGTTTAAGGTACCTAAACCTAAAATTTTTAGACTCTCAAAACCTTTATCACCTAAACTGACAAGGAGACAACAAACAAATATGATGATGAGATCTTTTGCTTTCTAAAATGAAAAGATTTTTCAAGGAGTGTATTTGAATTCAAGCATTTTCCAAACCTTGAACAACATCTGTATCTCCTGTACAAATGAGTCAACAAACAGTGGCACAATTCAAGACGAGGACCAGGTGGTGCACCGCTATAAACTCTACTACTTCTACTTTTCCCAAGAATAAAATCTTGTTTTTTTAATTGTTGTTTAAGTTACCTCTCACTTAAAGGTGAACATAGCCTCAAGATGGTACTGTAGCTCTAATGGGAGCATTAAGGCTGTTATATACTCGCCATTCCTGACCTGTAGCGCGACATTTGGCATCTACATTTTAATTAAACAATTTACTGAACCAGGTGGCCTACTGGTGGTCTTACTTGTGAAATTCAAGTTCCTCAGGTGCGTGTTGAAGTGAACTCATTCTATCGGCACATTCCTATGCTTAACATAATCAGCCGTTGAGTAAGCAATACACTAGCTCAGTACTGTACAGCAGGGTCAGCACAGGACAACTCTGGCAATGTTTGTGTAGCAGTTCACGAATAAAGCACAAATACATATGGAAGTACATCTACAATCTGATACAATCCCATACAAGCCCCTGAATTTATCTTTGACATTGTGCTGAACTGTTGAATATAGACTCATTTTTGAGTAGTTGGTGGTGTTGTGCTGTACTGGACTGCATGTTGAAAAGTATTTCCTCCACCCCTTGGATGTAAATGGAGGTGGAGGAAACACTAGAGCTTGGTTATGTAACAGCCGGCCTACAGTAGATGCGCTGCTTTCTTCAGACAAGAGATGAAGACGATAGACAGATGTAGTGCAGCATGTTATTGAAAGCCTGGCATCTCAAAATTACATATGGACTATCAACAATGACTGCCACAGCTATTTAGAATTTAAAAAAAAATTAATTATTATCTCTGAGGAGCTAGCATAGTGTTATTTGAGTATGCCTTATTACCTTATGACACCACAGAATCGGAAATTTGTAGACAATTAACCTGCTTAATTAAAGAGCCTGTGTCGTACAATGTTTCCTTTTGAAGGCAATAACAAGTTATTACTAAACAAGTCATTTCTAAATGGAACTGTGCCAACAGTCATTGTCTTCTACACTGTCTCATAATTTGAAATAGAATACCCACAGCTGTCCTCAGTCCGAGACAGTCGCTGCTAGACTACAACAATGACTCAGAGCTACAATGACTCATGCAGGAGAAAATGGCCCTTCCATTACATTTAATGAACCTTACTTCCGTGACCTAGATGGTCCACTCAAAAACTTGATTTAGAATGATTCAGTGCATTTGATGTGTCCTCACCTCTTGTTGCTCCCCGAAGACTCCATGAGAGCGGAATCCTTGCAATTGCCATTTGAGCTGCCCACAGATTCATTGCCATGGGACTCATTGCCATGCGACTCGTTTCCATGGGATTCTGTCCCGCTCCCACTCGAGCCGCTGCCGCCCATCTCTACATCCTCGTGTAAGGGTGGCCGTGGCCGCTTCCTGTCATCGTGTGGGGAGCCCGGCGAGGCCGGATGCTCATGGCTGCTGTCGCTCCCCTCGGAGGCCAATCCTAACTCGGCATCCAGTTCCACCCCATCCCGCCCGCCACAACCCTCATCGTAGCTGCTAGCCATGCGGTGAAGTTGGCTAATGGAGGCACAGGGAGAGGGCACCTCTTCCTCCACCTGGAAGCCTACCCTTTCGCGTTTACGTTCACGCCCGTCCAGGGTTGAGTACAGGTAGTGCTTTGGATCACTGTCCTCAGACATGGGACGGACCAAAGGGCAAAAGATGGGAGATTAAGTTACCTTCCACATGGCAATGCCATCAAGTGCTTGGCAGTGGGACGCAAATGGAGTTGATGCCTCAGGAGTGGGGATGCAATCTAAAGGAGAAAAATAAACCACAGGTGAAATTACTCAGTCAGACAAACCTTTACAATACAGGGTACTCCTATAGATCAATAGTAAACACAGTACTAAAATAAGAAGCAATCAATGGGGATTAGACGCAACGATCCATCAAAAATACAGCAGTACACTTAGATCTGATCAGCCAATGTAGCCTTGGATCTCAGCGTTTTCAAAAGTCAGTGAGAAACAAAAGGGCACAGCTGCACAGATAAAGTGATCTTGTTGTTACACACACACACACACACACACACACACACACACACACCAAAGCTGCTGCCATCCATCCTTCAAATGGTCTGCACAGTAAATAGGCCGCCGTTTGCCCTTTCGGTGTGGATTTAAGCCCCAGACCAATGTGATCCAGTTCAATTTTTCAAAAGAGCTTTTTCACATGAAAGGTGAGTCTATACAGATGAAAGCCCAGCTCTGAACACACAGCACAAACAAAACCTTTAACCTCAAACAAACCATCAGGACTAATTTGGATGGTGCAAAGACAAAATGCTTTGAAATAATTTTTCATTCATGATGTGTCGACCTGGCTCTTCACAAATTAACTAATAAAAGGGCAAGAGGAAAAACTGACAACAAATCTTTGGGGAGAAAATGGCTCCTGCTTACAAATTACCGCATTATCATTAATGCCCAGGATACAGATACCACATAAACAGATATGTTGGTGCATTGTAATGTTCACTTAAGTCTAAATCAAATAAATATTGCATTATGTAACACAGTGCTGTGCCCCTGAATCGACAACATATAAAAACGTTTCCCTTGAATGCTAACATCAGTAGTTACACAAGCCACCTTAAACTTGCAAACTCTGTTATAGTAACATGAATCCACATTGTAAATACAGGTTGGATTTCACTTGTTTATAGCAAACCACAAATAGGACTATTGACAAGCATCCAGGGGTGTAAAAATCTCACCCTAATGTGGTAAAAATACAAAAGCAACAGGTTTCATCAGCTCATACTCCGCCTACACCCCACACAGCAGAGCAGCAGGAGCTATTTGTGACTGTTAAAGCCATAATAGGAAATACTGGCAACAGGTACTGAAGCCAAATCCAAAATATTTCATTGTTTTGCTGCCATCCAAGATCAGGTTGCAGCTATTTATGTAAGAGTGCAAATTCAGCAGCATGTCTATTCTTCACTCTTTACATAAGCACTTTTTACATAACTTGTCGGAGTTTTAGTTTTCATGTTTTAAACATCTACAAAAACCTAGCAGACTTTCCAACCACCCACAGATCCTCTGCCACCAGGAAATGACCCACTCCCGAGTTTAACTGAGGCAGTAGCCAAGCTGCTGAGGGGACTTTCTATTGGCTGCAGCAAAAGACCAATCACAAAAGAGCAAGGAGTGACAACAGGTTAGAATGGTGTCAGCTAATCAGTGGGGAGTTTTAATCATGTCAACAGAATCACAGGCTTATTATTTCCTCTGGCAAAGAGAAAAAGATCAAACTTCCAAGAATGGATTGTTTAAGCTTATGACACAGTACTCCATCATATGAACAATAAGCCAGCAAGTTAACTGTTAACACTGTTAACTGTATGCAGCGCGCTATTAAGTAGGGCTGTACGATGTGGTAAAAACATAATCTTGCGATTTTTTTGAAAGACAATATATTATGTGGGAATGATCATGTTTGAATCACAAATTAAATGAATACAAAAAACAATTAGAATCATGGTGATGAGAAATTGTTAGGGATGTGTACTTAACAAACATGTCTTCTTAAATCTGGAGAAGAGAAGTTTGTAGACCAGGGCACCTCTGCAGCACTACAGTGCTTCATTATAATGCTGCTTTGTCACACATTTTATCTTCATCAAAACATTCCAGTGATTGCAATTTGTATATTGCACTTAGCCATATTGGGATTTCGATAATATTTCGAATCAACAGTAAATGCAACGAAACATTAAATAAAGGGTTGTTAACCCAAACACAAAATACATCAAGGTCCACAACATAAAGAAGTTTGCCATCATTTTTCACATAACAATCCTGTACTTTCATTAAACTATTTAACACTTTGTACTTCAAAACTTGAGCAGTAAAAACAAATCAAACATCCCAATAATAAAATATTTGAAAGAACATACGCTTACCAGAGACCCTTTTCCTCAATGAACAATACTTATCAGACCAGCAGGCAACGTTATACAACTGCTGAATTACAACTAGTTCACAAAATCGTCAAAACTGTCCGAGCTACGTGTGAACAACCTCTCAAAACAAAGCAGAGGAATGACATAATGAAACTGAACTCCCTCTCCTTCCAGCTCAGCCCTGTTTCAGCCAGAGCACTGATACACCCAACACACTAGCACAGATCTCAGGCATTATACAACGCTGCTCCAGTCACATGGATTTGGCTATAGTGCAACACAAAGCCGTGGTAGCCTTGTTTCATAAAACCACATGCTTACTTACACTTGCATCCAACTACAGTACTTCTGAAGTGCATTCTTGAATGAAATTTGAGACAGAAGTTACATGAGCATAGTTAAAGATAGGATATAAACTCTTGCTAATGCTTTACATAATGCAGTTAATCACGGGGCAAAACATTAGGCAAGAGTTATTGTAAGAGAATGGGATAACCGGAAAAGGTATAATTAGGGGTAATTAGTATTTTCATCCTCAGGCCTACTCAAGTATGTCATTAAAATGACACAATCGCAGTGAGTTACATCACAGTATCTGCCACTATACTACACAATGAACACAAGCTGTCACATTCATCCTATATTCTGAGATTCATGACAAGAGTAATGACATATTAGTGAAACTGCAATAACAATAATACTATCTAATAGAATGACACCTAAGCTTTTGCAGTAGTGCTGTGACACAAAATATCTTCTTTGCAGCTTTATCAATGCTGCCAAGAGTTAACCACCCCTTTATATTAAAGGAAAACTCCCAGCTGCCACCTGTGTGGTCATATGAAGGAGACACATTTGCCATAATTTGGAGTAAAAATTAGTTCAGGGACTACCTGTGGGTCATCTGATAAATGATCCATATCCAGATCATATTGAACTTACCAGCAATGTTATGTGATTATTATGTCGACCTAATATTCACAGGTACAGGGCGGCAGGGACAAACTGTTTTCCATCTGTGTGTGTGTGTGTGTGTGTGTGTATGTGTGAACAATAAGCCTCTAAGAGGACCTTGTTTAGTAGTAAGATAGAAATAAACCGTAGCTAGTTTGGAAATACTAATCCATTCATTTTTAAATAACGTCCACCCACTTACATTTGACATTACTCTGCCTGATATATTGAAATAGAACAATTTCTCAGGTAATACACGTTCAAATGAGGCTATGCAGTGTTACCAATGCATTATCTGAGTCCAACCAACAGAAACTGAAAACCGCCTAACAGGTCATTTAAAACGTCAATGATTAAATGACAACGCCTGTTATGTTTCATACATAGAAAAGCTTACAGCATATAGGTTGAATCTGAGAAAATGGAATAAAACATATTTCTGTAATGGGAACAAGCATCCCTTCCCCCATCTAACTCCCATTGACCTGCTATACAAAATCCACACACACGTTGACCTGCAATCCACTGCACGGTACACTGACACAGTTATGTAAAAGTGACGATATCGTTCAAAATCCGAAACGAAATAGCAGCCGCTTGCCCAAAGACGGCCAATTTGACAATATCCGACATTTTCCTTTCTCTACAAATGAACAGAAATGCTCGAACCCGGGATTTTAGCTTATAAAATGTACAATAAGTAGAGCGATCAGAATTTTCGCGCATGCGCGCATTCGCTTCAGTTATGCAACTTTTTTTTAACTTGGTTATTCATTCTTACAACTAAAAAGTACAAATGAAGGAAAACCAACCTGTGCTGCCGTGATAAAGAATCGCCTCTCCGGTCGTCCTCGGTGTCGAGTGAAAGCAAAACGGAGCAGTGAGTAAAACATTCAGTTAAACATCCAGCATTCCTCAATGGGAGACGAGATTCAGACGGGTTGACACAGTAGTCGACGGACCCTCCCCGGCTCACTCCGGCTCTGGTCAGCTGGCAAATCAGCGAGCTCTGCCCGCGACCTCAATTCAGACTCCTCCCCGAGCGCTTCTCAATTGGCTGAAAATTACGGGTTTCCATGGAGAATGTGACGGAATTGCAGTAGTGCGAGATCATTGGTCCAGAGCGCTGTCCGTCGTTTTATATAAACAACTCGTCCACCGCACGTGGAATCCCATGTTGTATTTATCGTGCGGCGTGAGACTGGGGTAGTTACGTTTACGCCAAAGTGAAAACACCGTATCGAGTGCTGAAATTACATAAATGCAAAAGTCTGTGGAGGAAACAACAAGGAAACCACGAACCACATAAAACATCCGGCAAACATACGTTTAGTTTGTCTCGGTTCTGTTGTAGGCTACGTGACACAAAAAAGGTGTGTAAGCTATCGTAAATGAAATGTTACAACTCTAGTGAGTTAGGTGATGGGTCCCAAGTTGTTGCATACGTAGCAATTTAAATACACTCTACAACGTTTAAAACACGTTCAGTGCATGGAGAGAGTGTCTCGAGTGGGGCAAAGTACATCGTTGGCGGTATGGACAGACATGTTTTTCCATAGTTACCTGCGATACATGTGTTATTTTGCACTGCAGTGGTGCTGCCTTTGTTCGAGGAAGCGAATAAATAAAATATCTGCCACGCTGTGGACGATTACTTAACAGAGGGAAATAAGCAGCCTGTTTGATTTCCTGAATGTACACTACGCAAGGCTCTGTTCTCTCCCTCTTTGGTAGAAGGGTGAGGGTATTGTTCATGGAGAAAGGGTTAATCCTCTTCTTACTCCAGACTAAGACCTTTTTTAAATGAATGAATGAATGGGACTGAGACTGGAGAACACACATTATAATATTATTTTCACATGCTGGCATGGGAGCCACAACGCCATATTTTCTCTTCTCAAGCCAGAAATCTGGACTCTGGCTCTCTGATTACGGTAAGTGCCAGTTTCAAGTGGAAATCACACCCTCCCTCCCCACGGAGGTGAGGTGGCACCCTAACAACACATCCTACAGTCTGCCTCATGGTGCTCAGCCTCCACTCACCAGAACATGTGAGAACCAAGTCTCTCACATCCATCCTACTTAAGTTGGCTTGTGTGATACAACACTGAGAGCCTCATAGGCGACTGTATGAGGCAATACTGTTTTTCCCAACAATGCTTAAAGGAAGAGGTGCAAACTTGCTATGGATGTAAGTAAGTGTGGGTGGAGAGTCAGTGTGTGTATGGGGATCTGACTTTGACAGTAAAATGAGATGGATTCACATATCCATATATCAGCAGCCTCTCTTTTAGCCACACACACACACACACACACAGACACACACACACACAAACAAACACAAACACACACTTTTCCTGTGATGAATGGGAGATCCTACAGGTGGGTGGAATTCCCTAAACAACAGTGAGTCATGATGTGGGTGGCTTTATCTGTAAATCCCAGGAGCTTTGACTGACAGTCATGAATATCATGATTATCTAACCACACATCACCTACATTTAAAGTGTGTTATCATATGTTACCATGTATGGATTAAGCTGTTCTGCATCATGGAGCTCAGCATACTGAAGAAGGCCCATGGGAGTTGAATGGAGGTCACTGGATAATATATTTCACACATATACAGAAGGGCTAAAGATATAAGTCAGTATTAAAAAAATCATTACCTAATTAAAAAATATATGTATTTGTAATTAACAAATTAATATATGTATTTGTTAATCAGTTGAAAACATTTTTCATGATATACATGAACATTTTTCTTCAAGGCTGGAAACACAATTTCCGTGAAATAGCAGATCCTTAGCAATAAAACATCCGAGTAAAAAGCCCTTCATTCAAAATCCTGTCGAGGTAAAAGTACAGAAATATTACTAGAAAAATGTACTTAAGGATCCAAGGAAAAGTAGCCTTTAAACAGGAAATGCAATCTCCCAATGCAAATAGCATTTTACCGTTGAAATAAAACCATCAGAGAAGTTTAGAGAAACTAGTAATGATGTGAGATACATGTAGGTGGGAAATCAGTGGGGATCAGTTTTATTAATTTATTTATTAATAGTGTACTATAATAACGCTCCATTTGCCGAACAGAGGATTTATTAACTTAATAAATCCTCTGTAATGTCTATTTCTTGGCCTTGGTATACAGTAGGTATAATAATGTCAGCACTATTTGGCTTTAGGTACAACTGCGTAGGTGTGATTCTGACTGTTCATATCAAAATGCGACCATATAAAACCCAGCATGTATTGTATGAAAGTAGGCCATCATCAAATATGTGTAAGCTAAGGCTAAGGGAGTGGAAAGTAGTGTCACAGATGCGTCACTGAAACAGAGCACAGCTAGTTAACTGCTCTGTCCTCAAACACCTGTGTGTTGGCTGCAGCCGTCATTTATATTCATGAATGTCAGTCAGGAACCATCAGCCACCTGTTTCATTCAGTGATGTCAGGGGGGGAGATGTGTGTGGAGGGAGCACAAGGTAAGGAAATCACCAGTTTATGTCATCTATAGAAACTCGGGATGACCTAAGAGATTTTCTGAGGCAGATTCAGATGTTGAGCATATTCTCACACACATCCATGTTAACTATGTTTACTGTTGTTTTTCTGCACTGCCCTAAAAAAGCCTTTTATTTCATTATTTTTCATTTGATATTGTATATCCTTTGTTTACATCCACCACTGTGTCTGCACACATGAACAGCCCCTCTACCAGGTTACTGAATTACGTAACCGCAGTGAACAACAACACACATACAGCAGATGATTCACACTGAGCAACGATTGTGGCTTTAAGTAATAGAGAACCAATAAATGATAACTGCTGAAGAGAGAGACTTTAACATTCTCCACAGAGTGAAAAGAAATACAGTTCCTGAGTCACATAAACTGCAAGAGAAAAAAGCCCTATTGTGCACTTCAGACGCTAAACTGCTGGCACACAAAGGAGCTTTAACATGAGGTGGGTGGCATTTGTGAACATCCCCTTAATATCCTTTAATTCTAGTGTAGAGATAGGAGGTTACCAGAGGCAATGCTGACACACATGCAAGTGTGGTAACACACACAGACCTCACTTCCCACAAACTATTGTTCTTTTAAAATCAGTGCACACTGTACAGACAGGAAGTAACCTCAGACCATGTGGATCAAATGCAGATTTCCTTTCCGTGTACGTGAATGTTGTGAATATAGAAATGACAGTAAAGATGAAAGGTGAAGCCCTGACTCTTCTTCTCCTTCTTCTTCTTCATGGGAGACATTTTGACAATAAATGATGGCTGAATTCCATTTAGCTGCTTTAGCCTTAAGGTCCTGGTATTGTGGATGCTGCCTCATGGTCACAACTTTCTGAGACACTTGAAAAGAACATCGGTAATGTTATTACTTACACCCAAGATTTTCCTTAATGTCAAATGTCAAACTTTAAGAAGTTCCAAATAAGTGTCCGAGATAACAACAATTGATTTTCAGTAATTAGCTGTAACTGAGAACATTCACTCAAGTACTGTTTTCAAGTACAGATTTAAGGAATTTACGTTGAATTGTTGCATGTTGCTTTATAATTCTACTTCACTCTACATTTAAGACCTAACTGGTGTACTTATTACACAATCATTTTTTCACAGCAATAGATGCTGGTTACTTTACAAATTAAGATTTTATATACAAACTTGATGAGGAGCTTATAAAATAAGATTCATTGTTGTAGATCAAACAGCTTTACAGTGTATAGAGTTTGAAATGAGCTCCATCTCTACCAACCGCAACAATACAATGCTATAGTAATGCAACAGAACTCATAATAAGCTAACATATAATACTCTCTACATTGAGTACTTTTATCACTCCTATTTGGCAATAACGCTACTTTCTTTTCTTATTCTCTTTGCACAAAAATAGGTTTGTGTATATTTCTGATATGGAATCAATAAGCTCTCAAAACAGAGAACACATCCATGGTGCTGCCCTGAGTGGGTGCAGTCACACAACGAAACAGACTACAGGCGGAGGTGCAGCGCGGTGGAAAAAAACTTTAATAAAACTCCTATGAAAACAAAAACCAGCAAAACAATAAAAGCCTGTACATTTGACAATATCCAGTGTCTGAGACTTTTGAAGGCTAAGTGGTGCGAAATACAGCTGCATCACACATAAACCAACAGAGAAAAACCATTATAGGCTTAGGCCTTGGCCTAAGGTTTTATTTAATAGGATATGGTTCATATACTCGGATATTGCACGAAAATCAAACACAGATGCAGATGCTGAGGGGCACCGTATGTCGAAAATGAGGAAGTAGCTTTGCATCGCAGTGTAATGTCCCTACTGATAAACCCCGCCCACACAGCCCCCAGACTCCGCCCACACCTGCTTGTATAAAAACAAACATTTAAAAAGAGAGCGGCACATATTTTCACATTCAATTCAGAAACAGATAATTAAAAACACAGTATGAACAATGGAATTACTAAAGATATGCTTTTTGTTTTGGTCCTAACGTGTTAAAAGCATCAGTTATTCTTCAGTGAGTTTATCTTAGAATGAGTGGGGTGGCACTTTAAAAGGCCGACATCCTTTTAGACTTTAAGACAAGTTGACAAGTGATAACTCACGGGTGATAACATTTTATACAATAATGCTCTTGATTTGAAAAATGTTCAAAGAAACAATGCACATTGTCATTTCAAAATAAAAGAAACTAAAAAATAAAGTGTTTAGTTTGTTAAAAGACTATCTGAAATGTACACGTATATGTCTTTCTAAAAACATTCCAGTGTTCAAAGGTCCAAAAGAAATGAGATTCAAAAAGTGGACCAAAAGGCTCAGGGCATCTTTTTCTCCAATCAATCCTTCTCTTCATCATTATTTCCCTAACAGAAATTTTCTCTCTGGACTAGTAAAGTAGTCTGGCACATAGACGTCTCATGATAAATTCTTAAATGGCAACAGAAAAAGAAAACTCATAAAAAATACAATCTTCCCGCAGTTTCGAGGCACACTTTTGAGGCAGCGGGAGCGAGACAGTTAAGATGCACTTCCTGTGGGCGTGGTGCACATTGTTTTAAGACATGGGGGTCAGACGTTTTTGTCCTTTCCATATCCGCCCTTTCCACACCCATGTGTTACCTCTGCTGTACTTAAAACAGTTCAGGGGTGCAGTCAAACCATGTCCCCCTTCAGAGTCCATACAAGCTGAGTTTCAAGTCTGTGGGACAAAATTCATTCAACCACTCCAGGCCATGAATTTTGTTGTCAGCCCGCTCTGTAGGAACAGTTCATCTTTAGTGTGGGCAGAGTGGGCGCTTCAGTTCCCTTCCTTTGGCTGTGTGCTCCATCAGCTGTTGTGCCTGTGCAAAACTTGCAACAACGTTACCCACCATGATTCCACAGAAATGTCACAAGACCTTGAATTTGGATTTTCAGGAGGCACCATGCCAGAGTGATGCAAGGCGAGGAGGGATGCAGTGAGCAAGGGTGCAGGCTTACCGGACTGTTTCAGAGGGTAGGTTTACTCTGTATGTACAGTATATGGGGCTGAATCTGCTCACGATTGGGATATTCCCTTCTTTAAATCAGTGTGGCTGTCATACCGTCTCCTCTGCACACCTTTCCTCTCCCACACACTCACACACTCCTTCACTGTGTCCTCTTGGCCCCTGACCCTTGGCTTTCGAGGGGTCTCAGCTGCTCTAGGAGCGGTTGTCTTTGGCCACATTGTGGGCCATCCAGTTGACTTTGGTAGTCCAGCTCTCTCTCAGGGCCTCGTCGAACTTCTGGCGGAACTGCTTCAGCGCCTCCTCGTCTGTTTTACCCAGAGCCAGAGAGTCCTGAGGAGGGAGGGATTGTAGAAAAGGAGGAGGATTAGTTGTAAGGGATGGGTGATGGAGTAGTGTTGAGGACGGTGATAAAATGGACACAGAATTTGTTAAATATTTGAAGTACTGACAGGTAGGCCTATATCAACTACATACGACTTGGCTTGGTGATGAACTAATGGATTGGTTACAAAATGGCAAGGTTGGGGTGTCCAGATGGTGTAGAACAGGGGTCCTAATCTCAAATTGGCTTGGGGCCACTTCAACGTTAAAGTACTACAAGAAAGTGCAATATTCTCAAAATATTTCCATTACTAACATCATACTTGCAAAAAGAACAAATAGCTGCTCTCTTCTTATCAACTTTTTGCCCTCTTTTGCAGGCATCTTTGACAAATAAATACTATACTTGTGTTTTCATTTTAACTATATATGAAGGGGCAGTTTAGATTGGTATGAAACAACTAGAAAAAAAATCTTGTGGACCCGATTTTATTACATTTTTTATGTCATGTCGTGGGATGGAGGGAGGGGAATGGAGGACCGCAAATGGACTCTGGACCAGCAGTTTGAGATCCCTGGTCTAGAAGTTTCAGATGCCGACTCAAGAAATTACAAAGTGTCTGGCCGACCAGCTCTGTCGCACTTCTTCATTCCTCTCTTTCTCCTAATTTACTGTCCCTTTTTAAATACTGGCTGACAAAAAAATAGAAAAAATAGATTACAATCTAACTTTAAGTATTATTTTAGTGACTCTGTCCAATATTCTACTGAGTACATACTACAGTACTACAGTTGCACATGGAGACATGCAGCTTTGTATTGTCACAAGGTTTTACAAATTGAGTTTTACATCTTGTTTATTTCTATCAATTGCTTTACTTTCTGTTTCTTCTCCCACACATCTGCTGAGTTGCCAAAGGGGACGAAGATGAAGACATGCACAAATACACCAACTAAAAAGATGTCCTGTGTTAGGGTGTAGATGTTGACGTGAGGCACTGTGGAAGTGTGTGTGTGTGTGTGTGTGTGTGCGTTAATGTGTGATACCTTTAAGTACTGGATGTCTTTGACTGAGGTGAGCTCAGGCAGTCCAGCAGTCAGCATGAGGGCAAACAATGTGATGAAGAGGTTCCCATTCTTCCTCAAGATTAGATAGGCTTCCTCGCAGTACTGTCGGAAACTACAAGACCAACATGCACACTTCATTATTCCTGACATATACAGGACAGTGTCAGCATTCATTTGAATTCATATTGATGGGTGTGATGTTCTCTGGTGATGCTTCCTTTTAAACAACATAACAGTAAACAACATCCAAAACAAACTCTTTCAGTATCCCATCAAAATAACAATAAGGCACCTTGAAATGATCCCCTGTATATGATTATTATAAAGCACACCTAATGATTGTCATTGCTGTTATTTCAAAGTCAACAGATTAAAAATGGCAACAAGTCTTTGGTAGAAGCATCTGTATGAGGTAAAGCATGTTGTTAGTGTATAGTGGCTGGAGGGGTCTGGCCTCTGGTGGACATGTTCAAACTTTTCTTTAAACATATCCGCAGATCTATGGCTGAGCTAAATGAGGGTTCCTTCACGCTGTTAATAGGTGACAGACACTTCCTTTAGGTTTTAGGCCAACCATCCAGTGACTCACTGCATTCTGACTTTATGTAAGCACACAGGGTGGTTTCAGAGGACTCATTAATCACTGACATTCAAGACTTGACATTTTTCTTGCAAGAAGCTACTAGACCCAAATTATCACAATGTGTATGCTTGTTAAATAGTTGCGCTACAAACGACTCAGTGTTTGTAGTGCAGATTTATTGAAACATTTAAAATGAAGCATTCAAGTGTTTTTCTTAATAAATCAGACATTGAGGGTGCAATACAGAGGTATTTTATCTTTTTGTATAGGATTTTTCCTTTTTGAGCTGGTCAGGGGGTACTTGTCTGAAAATATATTTAAAAGGGGATATAGTGTTGAAAAAAGTTTGAGAACCAGTGGTATACAGGGTACATTTCCACCAGGTCATTTCCGCTTTCACAAAATGACTGTATAGGCGTTTTCCTTCTGATCCAGGACACAATGTACTCTTTCTTGAAACCACACGTACCACATTTGCTGACGTAGCAATGAACCACAATGCTGCTTCTCTTTTTGTAGGTAAACACTTCAAAGGGTAGATACTTTTCTAGCTTGTGTCAGGAAGGAAATACGTATCACCAAGACCCAGTGAAGCTTAGTTGATGGATAACTACCCAGTTTAAATGTTCATACTGAGAATTATACATAAAGACATTTAGTCAGTGCAATTAAAAATGTAAATACTTGGACCAGTAGTGGTGATATTTCAAGTTCACAGGCTGCTGGGCAGTGCTAACAAAACACTCTCTAACAGGCTACTGCAATGGTCAAAAAACAGGAGGAGTGGCTGTTTCACAATGGAGTTACACTTCTTTGCCACACATGAGAGATAAATGTTTATTTGGATTATTTCTGAGCTGTAGTAACTTCAGATACAGAAACAGTTGATGTTACACAGGAGGACTTGTCTCCACATGTTGACTCCTGCTGCGGTACGGCTGAGAATGTAGGTCATAAAAACAAAGATTACTGAAAGACACGGGTATTTCCACTTTCACAAGATGACTTACCCACTTGTTCAATCACTGATATCTGCTTGATAAACAATATACACCTTGGCATTGCTGCCTGATGAAGCCTATGCATGCCATATCAACGTGCACATGTCGCCAGTCTCAATAAGAGAAACACGTTGTTGAGGTTTGTACATTTTCCGACTGCTGAACACTTCAACAATACTATACTTGAGCTTAGTCATCTATATCTGGGAATAATAATGAATATGAATATAAAGACCAATGTCAGAATTTTGCATTTTACTTCTAAGATATATTTGAATTATATTTTCACTTGAGGCATCAGTCAGCATTGCACAGGGCTGTTTTTAAATGATCCACCTCCTATGTAAAAAGATTATATTATGTAATAATATTATTGGATCCAGAGATACTTGACTACAACAGGGCAGGTTTTGCTTTCTAGCAAGTAGTTAGAGTAGCAAGTAGCGAGTAAGCACACCTATCTATACCGGCATTTAAATGTTTCAAGTGACTGGTGGCAATAGATTGAATGTTTTATATCTCTAATTCTGTAAATTTAACATAAAACCAAAACGTTTGTGTCTGAAGCATTCAGGGCATTAAATATCAGAGCAAAATTACAAAGAGATCTGATCCTGATACTTCAATACATGTTTGCAGTCTCCTTATTCCCAAACGTTTACATCAATCCACAGTTATACTGAAGTTTATAACAGAGAACATTTAGTGCAACTTGCTGGGAGACGATCATCAGTGCCTGAGCTCCTACTGCCAGCTGCTGGTGGAAGAGGGTACTGCACTAACAAGTGTGTTGATTGATTGGTTTTATGTGCCCAACCCTTATGGGCTTATAAGACACCAAAAAATACAGTTGCAGTGATCAAACATTTTATTCTATTACAAAATTACAAATTTGTTTTGATTATTATACGTCTCGTTCTTAAAATAGGTTGCCTTCTCTCCCAAGCTTAGCACTAAATGTTTGCTACGAGAAAGGCTCCCTTATTGAAGCACAACTCAAGTTTTTCATAATCATCAACCTCTAGTCTTTTCAAAAATGGCCCAGACGCCTTTGTTTATGTTTTCATAACATAAAAACACAATAATCTTGATTCCCCCAGGCTTCTTATTCTTATATAGCCTCTTTGATGCAGAAGACATCAACTTCATTTACCTACCTATGGCTCATTTCAGTGCTAGAGATGCTGACTGACGGTACTGGTTCATCATATACATTTTTAAGCTGGTTTACTGTTATGTTTGCAACAGGCCTGTTTTCTTACTGAAAAATGATGTTGACTGCCTCTTTTATGGTCTAAACCACTGGTTCCCAAACTATGGTATGCGTAGCACTGGTGGTACATGAGCTACACGCAGGAATCTCTGAAATATTTAAAAAAAAAGATGAAATGTTTATTAAGAAACATATATTACTATCAAAATACTACCCAATTTGAAATAAAACTACGAAATTTATGAGATTTCTCAAATGTAATTTAAAATAAGTTTAGCATTTTCTGTAATATTTTGTTTCAATATCAGCTTGCTACAAAGTCACGTTCATGCACATAGCGTATTCATATATCCATGATTAGTAATGAGCTAAAATGTGATGGTAAGATAGTCGATGGAGGTAAAATGAATGGTTCAAAAACTATGAAATCATGGTTCCAAACAGGAACTACTGGGAATATAAGTGTGGACCAGGAATACTCCTTTTACACCAAATGAGCTCTGGTTGTTCAACCGGCTCTGCTCAGTCAGCAATAAATAATCTTCTTATTAGGACTAAACCAGCCTCCTGTATGAAGCGTCCGTAGCTGAATAGGGTCGGCCTACGCCGTAAACTGTATTTTAACATCGTCATAATGGTGGTACATGAAGAACATAATATTTTCTGACATGGTACGTGGTTTGAGAAACACTGTTCTAAACAAAGTCATCTAAATCCAATGATGCATCCATCTGATCACACTATTCAATAATACCTTCAGAGGCCTATTACACAATCAAACAGCCCAGTTGAACTGTATGATGAAAAAGATTGAGTTTGGCTTAATTTCCAATTGAGTAGATTCCAGCAGGATAGAGAGAGACAGAGAGAAAGGCAGAGGACTCGAAGACAAAAGGATGAACTAAGTGGAACAAACCTGCCAAATTTTTCTGTGTACCCTGTCTTGCCCTGCTGTATGACGTGGATGAAGTCGTGTGTCAGGATGAATGGTACACGCTCCCTCTTGATGCCAAACTTGGACTTGAAGTTGCCCAGGATGTGGCCAAAGTCTATGTGGAAGAGCTGATGGACAAGAAGGCCAATCAGTGAGCACCATGGAACCAGGAAGAAACCAAACGCAGAGAGTGGATAATGTATACAGATAAAATGAACGGTGTGTCCAACCTGTCCCGTGCTGCGGACCATGATGTTGTCGCTGTGGCGGTCTCCGATGCCCAGGACGTAGGTGGCTACACAGTAGCCTGCACATGACAGAGTGAACTCCTCGATAGCCCGCTCAAGAGCATCGCTGTCAATAAAAAATATACACAGGACACATTCTGAATGAGCCTTAGCGGTCACTGCCACCTGTAACACATCCTGTAGTCCAAAGACGCTCAGTTAATGAACGGTTGGTTTACTCAGCATGCAGCGTCTTACCCAGTGTTTCTCTCTTTGAGCCAGTTGAGCAAAGCATCCTTGTTGAAGGCGGCAGCTGCTGCCACGTTGCTGCTGGTCAGCTGGATGTTTGCAATCGTGTCTGCTGATGAGACTACCTCAATCAGCCCTGCCCGGTCACCTGTTGCTAGGCAACCATACGGTACGATTCTGTATGGTATGAAGATAAAGAGAAGAAAAGAAAGAAAGAGCTTAATGACATCAATTGGAACATTGTGCACATACCCACCCTGGGGTATCTGGTGGGTAGATCTAAAAGATTCCCAAAAGGAATCCCTACTGATACATGCAGAACACATAATCATTTAATCACGCTTTTTTTTTTACATTCATACTTATTGCCACAATTTCTACTACAAACATAGTACGTTTCCCAGAGGACAATATGAAAAATATATATATTTCACAGTAAGTAAGCCTGGAAAATACCAATTACAACTACTACTAGCTTTTGGGTTTTTTCTTACACATTTCTGAATGTGTTTATAATTGAAACACTATGGCAAAAAATATCAAATGTAGTAGTGATAGTCATATTTTTTTCTACATACATATGAACACTGTCCCCAAAAACATGACCAAACAAGATCCAAAAATCTGTGCCACATGAAAGCAGATATCTGATTTGGGTCATTCGACCGGCAGTGTAAATGTAGCTTTGTGTGTGTTGTTGTAGATCCAGCTCCAGTGTTGCGTATTTACGAGATTAAGATATCAGGCAGTGGTTTATTTGAAATCTCAATCATATAGCACTCCCCTGGGTGCAATTCACCCTGTCTGACAGTGTACAATCTCATACTGTTTACACTGAGTTGAGACAGGACAGATGGGAACATACGGTAAAGAACATATGGTGATTACGTGATGGCACGTAGACCAGGGAGCTGATGGTTCATTTTCTTCTTAACTCACTTTAACTTTTTCTTTCTTTCCACAAGATGGCAGCAGGCCTTCATTTTGCAGGATGCAGAATTACGTGACCTGACAAATCTTCCTCAGAAAACCTCCTCTGTTGTAGTAATTTACTGACATAGTGCCCCGAAGGTCTTACATATCAAACAGCTGAGACCCAGTGCTCAAAGCAGACTCAATTCATAGATTTAATTTGCAGTTTGACAGAATTTAATGGAGACCAAATGCCTTCAAGGCATTTCTTATGCAACTCAATGGGTGTTGAGTTTAAATAAATGAGAAACACGACTTCAGACAGCCAACAATTAAGGATACGTGCAGTAAAATACATCAGCAAGAAATCACAGAACAAACTCACATCCACCACATCATAGTGATTTCATTATACTGTCCCTCCCTTCATCCACAATGTCCCATCACTGTGTTTGAACTCTGAACCCGTGTCCCTGTAATCTGAAGCACCGTCCTCAAGCTCAACTGTCAAAACAACCCCCCTCCACTGCTCAGCTCCAGATGTGTCAGTGTATGAGGAAGGGAGAAAAGGGGTTTGTAAAAGTGCAAAAGTGTGGATTTGATTAGGATGTAATGCAGATATCGTATGTGTGAGTGTGTGTGAGTGAGTGACTTTCTGTGTGTGTGTGTGTGTGTGTGTGGGGATGTCTAGGGTGTAAAAGGGTTGGAGGTCAAATTAGCATGGGGTAACTTAGTGTCTCCCCTCCTCTGCTGCACCCCACCAGAGCTTCCCCTTCCCTACAGAGAGCAGGAACAAACAAGTTCGACAAAGTCTGTCCATTTCTCACACACACACACACACACACACACACACACACACACACACACACACACACACACACACACACACACACACACACACACACACACACACACACACACACACACACACACACACACACACGTAAGCACAAAAAACTCACCTGAGGTCCAGATTTGCCTCCTTCCATAGCAGATCCATTAACCTCAAAATCTGGAGGGTTAACATGTCTTGCCTTAGGTCTGGGAAAAGAAAGTAAGTTTTCTTCATTTTAAAATAAAATATTGTGCTTTTAAAAGCAAAAGCAGAGTTTACTACCCTTGTCATCATGACCTTGCAGTATTTCTACCCCCCCCCTTCTTTGATTCCTCCTACCATCGCCGTTCTTGAAGATGATTCCCAAGGTGTCTCCCCCCATCAGCTTGTTGTTGTAAACAATCCAGAGTGGCTTCATCTTAGAGTCCATGTACCGACACTTCTCCACACTGATGGCAGAATGAGAGAGAGAGAGGAAATGAGCTGAGAAAGTTCAACTTGATCTAAAACTTTGGACCTGTGATCAGAGTGGTGTTGTCTTACTTGATGCCAGACAGCAGGACATTGGGGTTTAGAGGGGAGTGCAGGTCTGACAGAGTCTCTGAGTAGCCGCTTTGCCTTAGACAAGTCATCATGGCCTCCTTTGTCAACATTGCCTCCTTGGCCTTACGAGCGTTTTTGATGGTTCCCAGTTTAATTAGCTCGTTCACCGACTTTAGCTTACTCAGGGCTTCCACCTGGTACAGTAACAACACGGAACAATATCTCAGAATTTGTTTGAAACAAGCCAACAATCCCTACGGATGAGACAACTGAGCTCATTCTCCATAAACAGACTATTGTCAGCATTGTAATCCCAAGCCAGTGTGTGTGCTCTTCCAGACAGGAATGCGGTCAGATAAATGACTGTGCGGATGAGGAAGTAGAAGGAAGCGTCCACAGGAGTGACTGTCAGAATCAACACTATAGAGGGCAAAGGTCAGAGGGCAGGAGGGTGACACAGCTGTCAGTGTGATGGGCTAAAAATATCATGAATTTAGTCCTGCTAGGATCAACAATAGAGTACGGACTGGTAGAGTAAAAGTCTGAGGCATAGTTATGGAATTGAGGAATGGGACATAATACAGAGCATGTATGAGTCAAGTAATAAAATGTATTGTGTGTGTGTGTGTCTCCTACCTGTTTCTTTAGAACCTCAATATGAGGGATGCTGCCTCTACAGTAGGCTTCCAGGATGAGGGCAAACTGGACTGAAACAGCTGGCATGTGGATCTCCGACCTGTAGAAGGCAGCACAACAGCCACAATCAGAAAAAAACTTCTTAAAACTCAAATGCTTTCACAAACATACAATCTATGTCTCTTTCTTTCTAATCTGCAACATACATGCATACATGCACATAGACACATGTGTCCGTACACACCGTAGGTGCCAGAAGAGGAAGTGTCCTATCTTGCGGTTTCTCTGGGCACGCTCCAGCAGGAAGTGGGTGAGGGCGCAATCATAGTAGGGTTCATAACGCAACACCTGCACCAACTGTAACAAGTACTGCGACAGCTCCTCATTACTGGTGAGGGGAGATAGGAGAAAGGAAGAGAGAGAGTAGCATGAGAAAGAGGTTGTCTGATTTCCTTTCTTTTATCTTTAAACTTTTAGTTGGATTTTAAATGATTACGTGCCTTCAGGAAAAAGACATCACACAACACTATCATCTGACAATAACTCATGCATTTAGTCATTTATAATCAAACAACAAGGAGCACAGGGAATGTAACAGTGTGCTGGATTACAGATGGTATAGATGTAGGAGCTTCAATATGAGACAAAGAAATAAAAAGAAGGCCACTATGTTGTATAAAAATGTATGTGTGGGTGGATGCATATGTTAACCTCATATCACGCAGACATCCCACAGCATATTCCCTGACATACTGGTCAGGGTAGTTGAAGTCCAGAAGCTCCAGAGCATCTCTGGGACTCAGTTTTGGCCAGATCTGAAGCAGTGCCTGGAGCTGAGACACACACAAATGCTCAGACACTGTTTAATCAGAGTTGCATACATACAGTATACTCTACAATACATTAGAATACAATGTTTAATATGTTTTATTCCAAGGCAGATTCAGTCAAATCTGATAGTGGGGGTAGTTTTGTGTCAATTTAAATGGATGTATAACCATGATGTTAATATTGGCCAAAAGTGCAGCCCCAACAAATACAAAAAATAATAATCTTAACAGCTAAAACTGGTATAAATTGAGATAATATAATAAGTACTCTAGTAATAGTATTTTAAAGTTTAAAAAAATATTTTCAAAACAAAATCAAATTTTTAGTAGATTTAAAAGTAAATTGAAAGTGTGTACAAAAATAACTGACTGCATAAACAGCAGATACGCTGGCTAACCTGGGCCATGTCCTCATGTTTGCTCCACTTGACGGAGAGTAGCAGCTTGGGCAGCGACTGAGGGAAATTCTCTCTACAGTCGTGGCGTAGCGTCCAGATCAAATCCTTCTCGTTTTCACACAGCTGAGAGAGCGCATCACGCTCCATGATCTCCTTCAGCTCTATGTGGAACTTCTTACCCCCACGACTCTGAGAGAAATGATGAGGAGGGAAGAATGGTCGGTTGGGTTGGGGAGTTCGAGAAGGAGAAGATTAACAAGATGTAGAGGAGAGAGAGGGTGAGGGGTTGAAGGAGCGTTAATGAAGGAAAATTGGAAGTGGAGCCAGGATGTGAAAGGACATGAGAGGATGATGATGACTATCAGCAGTGACTGTAAAGAACCACAAGATGGCAGGCGTGTATCAAGGTATCCAGCAACTTCTCATCAAACTGCCTTGAATGTCATTCATCACAATTCACAAATCAAGGACTAACACTGTCTCTGTTTAAAACAACTTGTTTGCTGCCTGATTTATAAAAAAGGACACGCATGCTTTAAACAGCCAATAATGCCAGCTGAGTAATGCTATGCTAAAATAAATTGGATGACAGGTCTAACTTTGATTATATTGGCAGATTAACTGTTTGGATCTGTAAACAGATTCACAAATTGACATACAGTAAAAAATAAACACTGCATAGTAGGTGCTGATCCATAGCTTCACACACAGCCCTCACATTAAAGGGGTGCGTTCAGGCATGCCCTCTACATAACACAGGGTTATGTAACTGGCTACAACACGCCCAGGAGTGGGGTTTTAGTTGAGGGGCGGTGAGACAGGAAAACATACAAGTAATCTGATTAGAGTCTTTAGTTTTGAAGGGGACTGAAATATTTTTGCTGCTACACCCTGCCAAAGTGATAACAATGTGTTTCCAAGGAAACTAGCAGTGCGTGCGTGTCTGTTAAAAGTGTGTGTGAGAGGGAGAGACAGAGAGAAAATGAGGCAGCATGCCTATTTGTTACAGGGCAATCTGACACAAACATCTGAAATTATTGGTGTTCCCTTGTATGTATTCTGAATGCATACACATATTTAGGCCTGTTCACACAATCATCTCCCACTGTACATCCACTCACCATGGGTGCACAGTCATTTGCTCTGGCGATCTCTGCAGCTTTTTCCAGTATCTGCAAAAAAGTGAGCAAGTAAGCACTGTATGAATGAACACAAACACTGACACAGCGCATTAGGCAGGCTGAGCACATCCTGATCGTCTCATGCTAACAGCCACCACTTCATCATAATCACTAGGTACCATTATGAAGAGCACTAAGCCAATGGGATGACAAATTCAACTGGAGTAGAGTCCTTAAAAAAAGGCCACAGAGGTCTCATCCAGTCACCTAAGTTCAGACATAGGGTGAGTATGGTACACTGAGTACGATGACAGACAGCTGTCTGACCTTGTCGAAGGGAGGGAAGATGATGGGGTGTGACGAGTACTCTGGGAAGTGGATGTGCAGTGCTGTAGCGTTCTCAGTGTACGGGTTGGTCTGAATGGTTCCTATGGGGTTCAGCATCTCTTCAAGTTCATCTGGGTAAGACACATGAAATTACATGCATTTACTGCATCACTGGAGAAGCCTGGTTTAACTGCATTAGTAGATATGAAGTAAGCACGAGTGTGTGTGTGTGTGTGTGTGTTTACCAGGAAAGGAAGACCAGCAGTGCAGGATGATGTCTCCTGTCTTCAGCTGTCCTTTATAGTCAAACACCATGGTGTTGACCCAGGCTATGGGGTAGTGCTGAATCACAGAGAGAGAGTAAAAAGTAGTGAAAGTTAAGGACAATCTTAGGCTGGTGTAGCAGATGTGTGGAAAGACAGTGTAGGTCCGTGTACAAGGCTGTTTCTTACCACTTTTCCTGCTTTGCGGATGGTCTGGTACTTGTTTATGTGAGCATTTTTGGTAGACTTCTGCTTCTTGACCTTATCCATAACGGCATAGATAGCAAAGCAGAGTCGGGTCATGCGGGGCAAGTCCGAGACAGAGATGTCAAACTCCAGCGTGCTGTCTTTCCACGTGTGGTCTGAGCGTCCACTGCTCTCACTGCTCACAGCCGGCTTGCACAGCAGCTCTGTGCCGTGGAAGAGCCCCGCCCTCACCTGGACCTGGGTGGAATGGAGGGAGGAGGTGGCATGAAGAGGGGAAGCGAGGATATGGTATCTTATATTCAGTTTAGTTAATTTTGATATTTGTTTCCAAGCTAGCCTGCTTCAGCTTTTCCAGCCAGAAACATTTAATAAGAAATAAGTTTGTAATATAAGGCGGAATTAAAGGTTAAAGGTCCAGTGTGTAACATTTAGGAGGATCTATTGGCAGAAATGGAATATAATATTCATAGCTATGTTTTCATTAGTGCATAATCACCTGAAAACGAGAGTTGTTGTCTTTTCTTCACCTCAGAATGGGACGTTTTTATCTACAGAGGGAGCGCGTCGCATGTTGAACTGCTATGTTTCTACAGTAGCCCAGAAGGGACAAACCAAATTACACCACTAGATGCCACTAAATCCTACACACTGGTCCCTTAAGTCGGATGGGCTTCTATATTTTTCATATTTCCAACAAATGTCATGACAATAACAAAGCACAACAGTGCATTAGCCCGTCTCTCCATGTCTGTGGCTCCAAACACATTAATTGCAACTGAAGATGTAAATTGGGTCACACATACAGAGTTTTAGTTTTAAAACTGTAGTTTGTAGAAACCATTAGTGAAACAGGAGTAAATAGTGCCTTTGTTGGGGACTATTTATCCACATTTGGTGCTGTGTGTGTGTGTGTTTATAGCAATGAAGGAACATGTCACCCAGTGCAACAGTGTGGCTCATTGATGTGTTTTTAATAGTTTTTGGACAACAATGGAGCTCTATGGCACAGAGGAATGAGATATATCAGGCTTTGACAACACAGACAATATTTGTTAGTAAGAAAGATTCATAATGGGTTTGGTGTTTTCATGGGACTTATCCTTTGACTCTAACTTTGTTCGTGCTCAGCCTCGTGAAAACAAAAGGAGTACATGCAGATTAACAAGCTAATCAGAAGTATTCACTGTGGCTTCATATTCAAACTATTATTAAAAACCTTTCTCGACATTTCGCATTACCCAACTGACTGACAATGTCAGTGTGTTACTACTGTACAAGTCAAACAGTGTGGGAGATGTGGCACAACAGTGTTTGTGTGTTTGTGTTTTTGTGTGTGTGTGTGTGTGTGTGTGTGTGTGTGTGTGTGTAGTGACATATTAACAGGAACATAAATTAATGTTTTATGGATGTGGACAAAGCAAGCGTTACCTTGGCAGTCTCCTCCGCGTTCACCTTGCTGCCGTTCACCAGGACTATCTTAAACGGGCTAGACACACCCCACACACATGTCTGTACTTGCTGCAGAGGGAAAGTGAGAGGAGAAAGAGACACTTGCAATGAGTGAGCAGTATTAGCATAATGTACAGTAAAAATATCTATCCCCCCTACGCAGCTTCTTCACACCCAACAGTTCCCTCCATACACACAAACACACATATACACGTTAAAACACACAAACAATGTGGGAGGTCAGGCAGGTCATTCTGATGTCAAGCCAAGTGGATTTGCGAGGGTCAGCAGTCAGCAGGAAAAACAGCATCACATGACACCTAGAGTCTATGAACATGACTAACTAGCACACTTCCTGCTGTTTGCTGCCTCTGTCTTTGTGTGTCGATGTGTGTGCGTGTTGATGTCTTTAAATGTTTGTGCGAGTGTGATGGTGTATGTAATTTGCTTCTTGTCAGATAAGAGACTATATTTGTGTCTGCCTCTACTGTTACAGACAGAAACAGGACCTCCATGTACTGTAGGATCACAGAAACACCCAGTCCCTCTGCTGTCCTCGCTGGCTTTGTTTTGACCAATTATCAGTCACATTTCCTACCACACAGACAGCAGAGCATCCAATAACAGGTTCCTTTCCTGAAAATTAATCTCACTTCCTGTCTCAGAACAACACTGCTACAGTAAATTTACAGTCTGGCAAGAAATCTGCTTCTGTCTCTGCCAACCTCCCTCCATTGCATTGCAGTAACATAAAAGTGAATAAGTGTATAACAATACGAGAGCATTCCAAATACACAATCAGATTAAATACATACAGCCAAAACAGCAAAATAATCAACAAATCACAAAATATACATTAAAAACAACAGGCTTTGTGGCCCTAGTCTCCACAAGCAGTTCATACTGTGGTCTGGGAATCACAGCAGCAGATGCTCTTTCATCTTTGTGTCTAAACATAGATCCTGGAACAAAATCATCAGAGGATATCAGAAACAGAGGGCAATAGAAAGTTGGAGATGTAATGCAGAGCAAGGCCCATCCTGGCTTCAAATGTGATCACTCAGTAAAATGTTCTGATGAATTCTAATACATTTTTCCAGTCAATGCCTTGGCAAGAGAATTCTGAGGAAGCACGTATATTCATCAGAAGAGGTAGGGTGTTACAGTCAGGAGGAGATGAAGGCTTGAATCACAATTTCTTAGTATGATGTGGGGGGGAAAAAGTGTAGTCTGAAATATTTCTGTGTTGATGAAAACAAGATTAAGCAAGAGGGGTTGCATAAAAGAAAGTAAAGAGCTGAAACGATTAGTCAATTAATCGATTAGCCAATCAAAAGAAAAGTCTCCACCTTTCCTGTCTGTCTCTCTGAGTCATATAAAGGCAAAATGCCCAAAAAAAATAATCACTGAATCAATCTTTCTTAGTCTTCTAGGACAGTAAATTGAATATCTTTGAGTTTTGGAGTATTGGTCAAACAAAAAAAGACACTTTAAAAAAAGGTCCAGCATATAACATTTCTATTGGCAGAAATGGAATATATATGAGGGTTTTCATTAGTGTAAACACCTAAATATAGGAATCCTTGTGTTTTTGTTACCTTAGAATGAGCTGTTTATATCTACAGACGCCACAGGTCCTCATCTGTGGAGTCCACAATGTTGAACTGCCATGTTTCTACAGTAACCCAGAAGGGACAAACTAAATACTAGCAAGATAAGGGCGTTAAAATTTTTTGTGTGTTTCGCTGCCACCTGTTTTTGTAGTTTCTCCTTTGTGCTTGATAGAGGAGGGTGAAGCGATAGAGTTGTGATCTGCAACTACACAGCTAGATGCCGCTAAATTCTACACACTGGACCACGAAATTGTGATGAAAATATAAGCATAAGCAAATACGCAGCAGGTTAATCGATAATGAAATAATTATTAGTCTCACCTATAAGCTGCATTAATAAAATTATTCAACATTGGACATTTTCATCTTTGCAGGCCTGAATTCATCATAATACACAATGACAGTAAGTGACAGTGGGAACAGTAAGTAGAAGTTATGTTGTGATTAGGTTCTGCTGTTATGATTATATGTGATAAATATAATGTGGTAATATTTTACAAGATGATTTACCTGTTATATTTACAGACTTTGCACACCACATAACAGTGGGAAGCAAGAGTCAGCATGGCATCAGGCAATTAAAACCCCAGGAGACTCGGTAACAAAGGCCAATTAAATTCAACCTGACATTTAAAATGGTGGATGCACACATTGAGGAGTGGTGTCACTGTGCACCTGGCAGCAGCAGCAGCGAGGAGCTAGCGATGTTTCCTGACAACGTGGCAGATGCTGGCAGGGGCAGTGCAGGCTTGCTCCGACACACTCAGAACACTGACTAATAAAAGACAGGTGGCAGCTGCCGAGAACATGTTTACTTGGTAAACCTCCACACCTGCCTCGTTCAGTGCAGGTGAATCAATCTAACTGTGGCGCTTCTACTATCGTGGTGAAGCAAGAACACTATTCAGTATCTCTGGCGGATATTAAGTGGTTGTTATCCAGATTACATTAGAACATTTTCATATGTGTATCACACCCTCAGTTTTAGTGCTGGGGATGCCAAATAATCACTGATCAAATGTGCACACAGAAGTTACACAGTTTAGTGACTGGCAATGAATTCAACCACATTAATGATGAAAAGAATTCCAACAAACGGAAATGACAAACTTCACTTTAGCCAGTGAAGACAAAAACAATCAGTTACCTTAGTAAGTTCCTCTGAAAACAATAGCAGATGTTGGATAGATAAAAGCACCACAACACAGAAGTGAGAAGTACATTCATTCACACAGCCACACACAGCCACACACAGCCACACACAGCCACACACAGCCACACACAGCCACACACAGCCACACACACACACACACACACACACACACACACACACACACACACACACACACACACACTCTACTGGACTAACCGTGGGAGCCCTTCTCTTTGGAGGTAGTGGTAAAGGTGGGTTGGAGGACTTGCGGCCAACCACAGCTCCGATGGCAGAGATTTCCTTGTCAAACATGGCCTTGATGGCGCTGGTGTGGACCAGGGTGAGGTGTGGAGACTCCTTGGCTTGCATGCATGTGCGGATGTACTGCAAACAAGACAGGACAGGAAATTTGTTTAGCTGTGTGCATATCTAAGCCTTCCCTAACATAAAAGAGTGCACACAGACAGGAACCCATCCAATTTCAAATACCTTGGTGTTATAATTGATTTAAATCTTATGTAAAAACAATAAACAACAACTACACACTAAGCTTGCTGAACTTGCGATGCATACGCATATACTGAGGCTGCAAAACCCTGCCTTAATGCTCCGATTCTTCCACACAACAACAGTGTTTGTCTAGTTGGGCTCATAACCCTCTTGAATCCAGTAGCAAACACACCCTTAAGGTGTTTGAGTTTGGAATATCTTAAATTTCATGATACCTTTCTCATAATAAAGACCTCTAGGACTTAAGGCATTTTCATTTCACAGAAGCGTATCCAGTACCCCGTGCTTGCCATAAGACAAGACTTGATTTACGTATCTCTGTGCCTACGACACTAACTTGCCTGCATGCTAATGTATGCTTTAGCTGCCTTCAGCCATCCATCATTACTTCTTGCAGAAAACTCTAATATTGCTGCTTGTTATGCCCAGTGACTTCTTTGTGTGATGCCCTCTTCTAAATAACAGCTCTTTCACTCCATCTGCAACTGAAAACTAGCCAACTAATGTTTACAATTAAGAGCAAAGAGAATGATGGCACTACTGTGTAGTAGTAGCGCTCCATTTACATTAAGTTAGAAATGAAGTTTGTGTCTGTGTCCGGTGCACACATTGCCATAATGTTGGTTGCCTGAATCAGTAGAAAACAAGTTACCCATGAACATGCATCATATAAACACACAAACCACCATTCGCACTGTAACCAAAAACATTATTGTTGAGCCATCAGCTGCATGGTCCAAGCCCATTCATTTTAGTTTATACCACAACTTTCCCCAGTCAGACCTGACAACGCCTCTTCTTGGAATCACAAAAAAGACATTGGCCTTTCACCAGTGTAACAGTACAACAATCACTAAGGCATCACTTTTTTATGAGAACGATCTCTGATATTTCCGGATGTGTTATTGACACAAGGCGTGACAAATCTAAATAAGGATCAGTCACTGATAGACACCTGACAGAGTTACCGTGCAGCCACTGACCTTGTACTGAATCAGGGGGTGGTCTCCACAGAGGAACTCCAGACAGTGGCTGACTCTCAGCACGTACTGACCCCTCCATGCCTCCTCCTCGGGCCCGTGGGTGGTCAGCCACTTCCTCAGGGCCAGCTCCATCAGATCAATGGGGGTGCTGGACGATGCCACCTTCAGACTGGCTGAGTCCTGCAAGATAAGACAGGAAAACAGAGATAGAGAGATTGATTCATGTGCCCCAAGCTCAAACTGGAAGCAGATAACTGATCATAAAACAGTTTTCGGTGTCTTTTTGGTCAAATCAGGACTATAGGATCATATAAAATAGTGAGGCGGAATGTTAAGATAGCAATAAGATAATGAAACATGATCACTGATTTTTACGTACAGACATACAGTACATAATTGTTTATAAACAGAGTTATGTCTAGATGAGATAAATAGAGAAAACCAAAGAGACAATAAGAGACTGATGGACATAAACAGGGCTTAACATAACACACAGACACAAATGATCAATTGGACGTGTGTGTGTTTGCGGCTGAATGAACTGCTGCGACCGACTGTGCACTAAAAATGCGTGAACATGCATGTGAGTCCTTCCCAGCCGGTCTGATGTGCCACACCGATGCTCACTGCTTCATCCTATTTATAGCACAGCACTGACCCGATACCTAAGATGGAATTATAATTTCCTGGAGGTTTAATAAAAATGCCATCTATTAATAATTAACTACAAAAAAATGGCCATGGATACATTGTGGTAGAACAACAACAGCACCGAGCTATCCTGTAAGTACTTTTACAACATTTCTCTAACTGGCGGAACAGTATTTAGATGTTGAAGTTGGATAAGATTTGAATGCTAATGCAGAGCAGAATACCCTTTAATACTAAATATATCACTAAAAGCAAGGTTCACACAGAACCTTTGTCATATTCACATTATAACATATAACCACACTACCACACTTCCTGTCAATAATGTGGCTTATTGTGTCTGACCTCCCAAATAAGACTTCCTGCCAGTGTCCACCTGAGCGCAGTGGCACAGATGGCCTGTCTTTGTGTATGTGCATGTGTGTGTCTGTGATGTTGATCAAAGCTGATATACACAGGTCTGGAGGGACCCAACCATCTGTTTTTACTATTAAATAACATTATTTCTATAACAGGAGAAAAGAGAAAGACACACAGAGAGAGACAAAGACAGATGGAAGGAGACAGTCAGAGAGTTCAGAGGAGGAGAGGGAGAGGTTCATTTTAATCAGTGTTTCGGTCCCCTGAGCTGCCATGCTAATGTGCGTGTGTGTCCGGGAGGATGGCATAATTTCGCTGATGGTTTTGACCCACTTAGTGTTGTCACATGACTTGCTAGTTGGGCTCAGTCACGTGACTATTATGGAGCTGCCAAGTGTGAGCAGAAAGAGAGGCTGAGCTACAGTGAGTGTGGTGGAGTCACATGGCTACTTTTGCTACTCAAACAAGGTGGTTTTGTCTGTGGTGGTGTAGCAAGTCACACCGTTATTCTGATTTCATTATGTATGCCGAGTTGTTGTACAGGCAGCATGTAATGGGTTTGGCTAATGGAATTTATTTGGCCTCCTCTAGTTCAAATTAGAAATATAATGACAAAAATGAATACAGATAAGTACCTACTAGCTTTCTACCAAGTATCCCTTCCAGCATAATGTAATCTATGCAAGAGCCACTTACTGTAATATTAAACTTAATAGGGACCTATGATGTTTAATGATATCAATTCATTTCAAACAGTGTATTGTGTTTGTACAATTTACTGTAAGGAAAGTCGGTATAACTTCAAATAGATGTAACCTTGAGCCTTAGATGGCCTTGCCAGTACATTACCTGGACCCTTTCTGGGGCAATATTAAAATAAAGTGTTGGTCTCCACTCACTGAACTTCTGCTAAAAGGTTTTCAGCACTTACAACACTGGACTACATACTCTCACCTGAGACTGGTCAAAGTGGATGGTGACTTTCAGGTCGGCCGGCCGGTCATTGAGCCCATCAGTGATGGCCGTTCCTGGTGCGGGCTCCAGCTGTGGGGAGAAGCAGGCCTCCAGCCACTCCATGCACGTCATCATCTGGACTTTTTGCATCCTTTCTTCACTCATACGAAACATCTTACTGCGAAAGTCCTTCACCTCCTGGTCATTTATGCCATCGAGTTCATGGAGACCTAGTGGTGGTAAGGAAAGGAAAATGTCACTGCAATGCTATAAAGTGGATTAAATAATAATTGGTGGACTGATTAAATTACAGCAATATTTTTGTAACAATAGCTCTAATAACATGTTTGGGGAAGAATCTAATCGCAATCTAATTAAATTATAATTATGTCTCAAGTATGGACCTTTATCAGTGTGTGTGAATGTGAACTTGCATAAAGCTCATAAAGATCAAGAGCTTTTTAACTAGGAAACTGTGTATATGAGGGTATCATGCTTAAATGCAAAGGCTTTAATGTTCATTAAATATGCATAAACACCTGTGCAACACTTGATGCCAGGCATATTCACCAGGTAGTACTGAATGTGTAAAAAGGATTACAAACAGCAGTCTCTCATGGGATTAGAGCAGAGCCTCCTAATATTCACACTAGTACCAAATGCCACACGTATGAACTGTAGTTTGGCTGATCATTATACTTTATCTCTCTGCTCCCTGTTGAGCTTTTGTCTTTGTGTTTTTTATCAAAGGGGTGCTTCACAATACTCTCTTGGTAATGAAAACAACATGTTGACATTTAAAGCCATTTAACATTCATATGACCCCTCAGCATTCAAAGAAGGGCTCTGGACCACATTAGTAGCATTGTGTGAGCGTGCGAGCAGGTTTGTGTGACCGTATTTCTGCAGGGAAAAAAACAAAAAAAACATGGTTGCCTGTGTGAGTGTGTAATACTTTGTTACTGTGCAATGCACAAGGTTAGGTGTGTAGGTGTGTGTGTGTGTGTGTGTGTTTTTGTGTGGGGGACTATCTAGACATGCCTGTGGGGTTCCTTTTGAAAACACCACTTTAGTCTGACAAAAGCCTTTAAAAGATCGTGTCAGACAAAAGTGGAGCCAGGAGGGGAGAATATCAATATCGTCTGAGTCTCCTTCAATTAGACTCAGAGCCCCTTCTCTCCCTCTTTGCCTCTCTTCGTCGGCAGACGTCTGCTGTGACCTAAGGACTTCCATAATCCTGGATATCTCAGCCAGAAGAGGGCTGAATGTGTGTGTTTGTGTGTGACTTCACTTGTTAGAAAGCAAGAGCAAATAGCTGATTCTTTATAATTGTGTGTTTTTATGTATTTGCATGTCACTGTATGACTATTTGTATGACAAAATTTTTTTTTATTAATGTGCACGCATGTTTCACACTCCAAAATAAGCAATTATTTTCATTATCGACTCATCTGCCGATAACTTTCTTGATACATGAATGAATCATTATGTCTTTAAAATGTCAGATAATACTGAAGTTAAAATTTCCCACAGCCCGAGGAGATTTATTTGTTTTATTTCACCAACAGTCCAAAAGCAAAGATATTTTCTTTATGGTCATATATGACAAAGAAAAGTAACAAATCATCACATTTGAGAAGATAGAACCAGCAAATTACTAAAATGATGTACCAATTACATATAGTTATTATAGATGCAGATTAGTGTTGCAGATTAATTGTTGCACCTATAATAGCTACTGTATTGCTGGAATATATGATATAGATATGAGACTAATTTAAGATTTTTTGTGTCAAGAAAGAAAGTTTTTTTTCCCTCTTACATTAACCAATTAATGTCATTGAAAGTTCCAACACATGTTAAATCACATCAGAGGATTGCGCTGTTTTATAGTACAGATCAAACCCGTCTGCTTCTCTAAAAGGCCTCATCTTCACCAGGGATAACGCAAACTGACAGGTGATGGAGGACATGTCAGGAACACGTCCAGTCAATCCTCACGCTTCTCTATCAGACAGCAGGGCCACTGATAGGAGCCAGCTGCAGATGGGCTTTGGGTCTGATGGCTGGTGTGAATGTGCTGAGTAGGAGAGCTACTTAGCGTACTGGAGGAGGTGCTTAAGGCTTGTTGTGTGCGGGGAAAGATTTACTGTTCCACTTACCAACTCTAAGTGCTTTTCTTTATTGGGAATGTCAAACAGGGACAGTAAACGAATCAATCAGTGAGGGAGGAATGTGTGTGAGAGCTTGCATGATAATCTGCCATTTTAACTTAGTCCTAAATAGTGATGCTCTCTTACCCTTGCTAATGAGCACGCCGATTTTGGAGTCCAGCAGGCGCTCTGCCCGGCCGCAATTGCGCGTCACCAGCTTGAGGACCGGCAGGAAAGGGCGAACATCGCACAGCCTGCGAGTTTCGTCCTCCAGTTCTTCGTGAACGGCTGCCTGGTTGACACACTCGAACATGTGGCTCTCCATTTCGCCCAGGGCGGGAAACAGTGGGAATGACTGAGCCTGCTTCCATAAAAGCTGGAAGGGAAGAGAAGAATTTCACTGAAGTGCACTACAAAACCACAGGGAGTGTTTTTATCATCTCCATTAGACTCAATTAAATAAATTCTACTTAGAATTTGTGTAACCAGAATAAACAGCATTTTGTTTTTGGCTTGATGGCCTTTATGAGATTATCTAATGGTTTTGGAAAGGGTATGAGGAAACAAGACTTATAGGATGTTCTTTATCCATACAGGACCATCACAGTGCTCTTGGTGGGAGTTGCACCACACTAACATGAACATTAAAAAGCTAATTTACCAAGGGCCTTAAAATTAATAAACACAACATATCATAATGATGTAATATATTGATGAAAGTGTAGGTTTCATGATCAAGAACAAGCATGACTCATGGCAACATGACACAGCTTCTGGGTGAGCCAATCAGGATGTGAATAATATGTTATCCAGCCAACCCTACCATGATTCACGTCCCTGCGCCCCCACAGCATGATCACAGGGTTGGGTGTCAGGTTGTGTGTGTGTGTTAGTCTGAGGTTATAGAGCTATGATGTAGCACAGTGGAACAGGACAAGTTTGTCCTCTCAACAAATATCTTCTTCTCCGGGACCACTCGTGATTTTATGTTATGTTGATCACATCTCTCAACAAACCACATGCAAAATGCGTGGAGGATTTAATTATTTGATGTTCTGAGAAATTAATTCAACGCGACAAACATGCTTTAGAAAATTACTGCCATGCTATCAGCATTTGTCACATAGTTACGTCTATGTCCTAGTTCAAGTTTATAAGTCACAACAAGTTACTCAAACAGTTCAGTTCCACAAAACATTTTCAAACAATCTGCTTTCTGGGAAATCTGATCTGATCTTTATTAATACAGTATGAATGAAACACAGTCTTTCATAAGCCTACTCATCTTGGCTTCTTAATAACCGATAAAGAGTCTGGTACAAGGCTGTCTGGAAGGCCTGCAAAGGTCAAAGGTATATTCTGCCCTTTTTTCTTTTCTGCCCGAAAATAATTCCTTTTTCCCCATCTCATTCATTTACTAGAAAAGTCCCTGAGGAGTCTCCTTCTCTTTCTTGCTTCAGTGATGTACAATCTGTCAGAGCTTTCCGCTGCTTGTGTACACGCTTTCCTCAGGGAATGAAGATCCCTCATGTGTGCGTGCCAACAGACATCTTTTATGCATGCACACCCACGTACATTTAGTCCAATGAACCTAAAAAGACTCATTCAGCATATAGTTCCATGAAAAGCAAACCTTACTGCTAAGAGCAAATATCTGTGAATATCAGACAAAGTGAAAGCAGTCGGTATCTTTGGTCACGTTATGAAGCCAGAAGTGATTTCCAGAAAATGGTAAGCAGACATTATGTACACACACAGACGACTTGTTTACTTGCTATTCAGAACAATCTCCTCAGGCTTTATCAAGCATGTCTGGGGAAAACAGGTTGTGTGTGCAATGCAGGATATGTTTTCCACATTGATCCAGATATAATAGAATGTTTTTATATTGGCTGTGAGAAGGCTTTGGACTATAACCTAAAAAATATAAATGCTGTGCATTGTAATGCCATCCAAGGCCTGAATACACACTCTTGATTCAACTCGGAAGTCATTTTTGAGGTTGTTTGAGGTGACAGAATGGAATACATGTGTTCCTCTGACAAACACCCTTCAGTTTAACAGACTTGCATTGTACGTGTGCTGACATTTTTGTGGTCACTCATCACATCACATCACATCACAGGGGACCCTGTGATCTAACATAAATGACCATTTCCAACACCTTCACGCTAACACATACTTCGTGCCACTTTGTAAATAATGTGAGTAATTTCCTTAACAACTTCTAAAAGAGCCATTGAGGCTTCTGACCTCCACTTCACAAAGTTAGCTGCAGTCACGCATGATGTCATGAGCTATCTGCATTCTGAAAGCAACAGCTAGTCGCAAACAAAAAACACCCAGCCAGCCGCACGAGCCAAAACAGGCATTAGATAATGTCTAACTGACCAGCTGTGAGAGTGTGTGTGTGTGTGTGTGTGTCTCTCAGTGTGTGTCAGTGTGTGTGAGGGTGTGAGTGCGTGTGAGCGTGTGTGTGTAAGTATACATGTGTGGGATGTAGACTGTGTTTTTCCCTATTAAGACAATAGGCCAAGAGGCCTGTAGGGACAATAACAGAACATCAGGACACACAACAAGCACATTACTAATCTCCTTTCAGTGTGTTGAAAGTTAATTTTGTAAGAATCAATTCATGATCTGTTATGTTGTAACAACACAACTGAAATAACCTCGCCCTCGGCAGCAACATGTGGCATTAAGTAAAACTGATGTGAAGAAAAACTTTTTTTTTAGCCCAAACCTGTGCTCCCACCCACCCAGCGCCACTCACCAGTTTGATGTGCTGAATGGTGGCCTCGCGTGGTACGTCCATCTGGATGTAGATACCAGTGGGCAGCAGAAAATCCACAGTGATCTGGTCCAGAGCATGGCCGGCCAGGGGCGAGTGGGCCGCCCATATGTCCAGGAGGTCTGTCATGGCAGGAGGCATGGCAAGGGGCACCACACACCACCTCAACCATAAGGACCTGGAGGGACAGAGGAGAGAAACAAATAACACAATTTAGACTGAAATCCATGGTGTATTGTATTATAAAGAGGAGACATTAATGACAAGCTTTATTTCCCATTTATTCAGATATATGTGTTCTCAATAGGTCACTCTGGTGATTGAAGGGTGTAGATAAGATCAAATCAGCCTTTAAAAATGTAACAACAGAGGAGGAAATGACTGCTGGGGTTAGACAAGTTGACAAAATAACAACTTAAGAACTCACAGAAAGCAAACTATTTCATTTCTTTTAATATACAATGCAACCAACCTAAAGACAAACACACTTCATGTAAACATGTTACATTCTCATGGAAACATGTTACATTCTCATGTTGTCATGACTAACACTTTCCTGGACAACTTGCAGCTCAGGCTGGGATTCCAGAAAGCCATTAGACCATTCATCAAAGCTAACTCAATTGTTTAGGCTCATCTGAACCTGGTTTAAACTATCAATATAACTGCACAGGCACTCTTGCAATTCTTCTTTTCATTAACAACAAGTTGACAGATGCAAATTATTCAGTGTCAGTGTGTCCCTGAGGGGGCAGCACTGTGCTGAGTCCAGTGTGTGGACACTGGCTTTAAGTTGGGTGAGGGCCAGTGCTCAGAGGAATGCCCACTAAGCAAACAGAACAAAAGGTCAGCCTGCCCTCCCCACATCTGACAATCTAGTCCCTGCGGCAGAGAACACACACACACACACACACACACACTTATAGATGGATAATGCATGTATAAAAGTGCATGCTAATGCACAGTGCACAGTGCACACACACACACACACACACACACACACACACACACACACTGAACACACACACACACACACACACACACACACACACACACACACACACACACACACACACACACACACACACACACACACACACACACACACACACACACACACACACACACACACCGGCTGCTGCAAAGATAATTATCAAGTAAGGCAGGAGGGGGTTAGCCTGCCACAGGTTCTCTCTACATGTTCAAAAGCACTGGCTGAGGAAGGCTATTTCTGTCTGCCAGTGAGACGTGCAGAAGACTTATATCTCAGGATTCAGTGCATGCAATCTAACTGTGTAAACATGCAAGTCAAGTACAAAAAAACAACAAAGTAAACTAAACAAACAAATGCACACATGTGGACCCATAAACACATGCATGTTAACTGCAGCAAGTTCCATTGAGCTGCAGTAAGTGGCTTCCCAGCTGCTGGTGTAAAAAAAGCCCACAGCCTGGTTTCCATTTGGGCTCAGGCCTCAACCACAGCTGTACCGTCACACCACTTCCACCTGCCTTTTTCTCATTACCTAGTCCTCAAGTGGCCTAGTACATTAACTCTTCCACTAGGCCACAGGTCCATCTCCATTTCGTCTCGGTCCGCCCATTAAAAATGACAGCCCTGATTGCCTCTAATGGTCTTTCCCCCTCTAAGTTAAGTGCTCGAGCTAACAGCAGATGAGCCGTTGTTGTGCCACGTGCCTGAGGATGGTGCAGTATCTGCTGTGCATTTGGAGCCACGATCTCAGCCACTTAACATTATCAGCCATGCAAATGGACACAATCTCATGTGTGTTTCTGTGTGCTGTTCAAACTGTAGACTGCTGTCTGAACATCTCTTAAGGGACTTTGCAGTTATTGCATGTGATAAGGGGTGATGCAGACAAAATCAGTTAAACACAACAGACACAACCACACGTATTATACTACATAGGAATTTTCACGTAGGGAATAACTCCTAGTTATGCAAGACAATGTTTTACTCACTGACACAAACACACTACCAGGCGGCAACAAGAAAAATACGCAACAATACAAGAAACCATTCAAAAAACAACAGTTAGAGGGCAGACAATGGCGGGCCTGTAACGTCACAAAAGGTGCACAGTTACACACATGAAAAGTAACATGACACCCAGCATGTCTGTCTGATGCGCTGACAACACTGGGTGCTCAGGGATGGATGAGCAAGTACATGTGCATGCACGTCTATGCACATAAACACTTGTTTCATTAATTATGGGCTTCTAGAATGACGTTTTCACACCAGACAGCTTTAATACTGTCTCATCCAACTGTGATGCCGACACACTCGGCCTCCCTCTGTCTCTCTCTCTCTCTCTCTCTCTCTCTCACACACATGCAAACACACTGTATATACACAGGTGAGCGGGGTTATTGAGGATGTGGTGGCAGACAGCCAGAGGTCTGCTGCGAGGTCAGGTTTCAGTGGCTGGATCAGAGGAGAACAAGTGGGTTTGCAAGATCAGGGAGAAAGAGAGAGTTTCATGTGACAACAAACAGAAGAGCCTGAAGGGTATCCGTTCGGTTAGCAAACATTAGCAAAACGATGTTTCACTATGGAGCCTTCAGTCCAAAGCTCCCAGGCACACTTTGATGATTACTTGTGTTTGAAGGTGCAGGAATATGATCCAGCTCACATTTGCTTGTTTTCTGTGCAAACCAAGGCAGATCTTATATTTATGTAAAAAAAAAAACAGCTGAAATTTGACGGAATAACTGCAATTTGGTGTCTAAATTAATGAAGGACATTCATTATTGTTCCAAATGTGCCCTTTTTGTTTTCCTTTCACAAACTCAGCACACAGCTGGGATGAAAGAGAACCGTCATCTGTTCACATCTTTGAAACTTCATGTCTGATCAAATATCTGGAGAGGGGTGTGTCACCAATGTAAAGGTGAGTTGGTAGATCAGAGGGAAGCATGCCTGAAAGACAAACTGGTTTGGGTTTTGTGAAAATGCCACTGACTTCCACAGGTAGACGAGAACACATACCAACAAAACCCCCAGCATACACTCGACTGCAACCAAGCCATACCTCATAATACAGAAGAAGCAAATCATTGCTGGTAATGGGAGTAGTTCCTCTGAACCAGTGACAGTGACATGTTGTCAAGGCTTTAATGCCCAGATGCATTTATGGTTATTTAAACACTAGTGTTACTCAGCACTCTCTTTCTAAAGCTCTCTCTGTCTGACAGTAAGAGGCCTGTGAGGCTGTCCACAATGGAGTGTGTGTCCACGCGTCTGTGGGTGTGACTGATGAGAGAAGGGCTAACATAAATGGTGTGTGTGTGTGTGTGTGTGTGTGTGTGTGTGTGTGTGTGTGTGTGTGTGTGTGTGTGTGTGTGTGTGTGTGTGTGTGTGTGTGTGTGTGTGTATAAAAGGTCAAGCCTGGTGATTAAGGGTCCTGTGACACATTTTCTTCCACACTGTGCTAAAAATATATTTCACAAAGAGGATCTAAGACCTCTTCACCTCCCCACTACAAACACTGTACTCCTGTAAATGAATATGGAGACAACAGTGAGACTGCTTGAGTCAGCATTTCCACTTCTGGGCAAGCGCAGTGTGTGTGTGTGTGTGTGTGTGTGTGTGTGTGTGTGTGTGTGTGTGTGTGTGTGTGTGTGTGTGTGTGTGTGTGTGTGTGTGTGTGTGTAGGTGGGATCGTGTCTATGCAAATGAAAAAAAAATAAAAAAAGGTTCCTATGGCTCCATCAGGCTTTCTGTGTACATATGTTATTTAATGGACACTTTCAGTGTGTCTCACAGAACCAAACAAAACCAGAGAAGTCAAGTGATCATATTTATCTGTGCTGAAAAGATAAGTCAATGGACAGACAAAGTTTATCTCAGAAAAAAAATTGTTGTGTTTGATATCACTGGCACGTCACTGCCGCCACCACAATCTTGTTTCGCTTTCAGCCACTAACCACAGTGGCACAGTGTGATACCCACCCTTAATGAAGGCGTAACACAACAGAGCTGGATGCTACTGTACTGTACGCACACAGTTTGTTCTCGATTCTTATGCTTAAAAACATTCTGTCTACAGACACAAATATTTATCCCAGCAACAGTGCGTGGGGTATTCAGGGAATACCTTTTCTCTTTGTTTCTGATTACTAAAAACACCTCAGGTGACTCCCGCAGAGCAACGTAACCTGTCAGAGTTCTGGAGATGAATGAGCAGTCTTTGTAGCTTTGTGCACAATATACTGACTGTGTTCAAATCGGACTGAATATTAGTGTGTGTTGGCCTCTGTGTGCGCGTGTGTGTAGGTTAACAGAAAAGCTGTTAAGCTCAACAGTATGTGTTTGTCTGGGTGGCGTGTGGATAAGCGGTCAGCTGGTGTGTGTGTGTGTGTGTGTGAGTCACCAGTCGAGTAATACTAGCACTTACTGTATTTAGGAGTGGACGTAGGTGGTGGCTGTAGACAGTAAACACACACTCAAGCGTAACGGTCATTTTAACTCTGACACACTGTGAATGGGCCAGTGACTAGACATGTTTGTGAGGGTGCATGTATGAATATTTGTTTGTACAAGTGACTGCAGTGTGTTTGCATTAAGTTCAACCTCTCAAGTGTATCTGCTTTTTTCTTTTTAATCTTTGCTGCATCCTACAATTATTTCATGCTTCAGTGGCTTAGTTCCTCTGCAGGGATCGGTTTCATCTGTTACCCATCAACTCATCATCTTCGTGCTATTTCCTACAGGAACTAGAAATGAGGAAGTGTCATGAAACCAAATCCCCTGTAAAAATATTCTCACAGCTACTGCCGACAAACCGTCTCTGTATATACGGTATCCGAGAGGAAATGTGAATAAAGTGAATGAGTGAGATAGTGTGTGGGCGAGTGTATTTTTGTGTTTGTAAGGTGTATGTATGTGTGAACCGACCACATCCAGACAGCTCACAGCGCTCCATCGTGCTAACCACCTCCAGTGACACAGTGGCACATGCCCGCCTCTCAGGCAGGAAGCAATGACACTAGACAGGAAATGAGTGACAAACAACAACCATAGCAAAAGTCCCCGACAGTCATTCATAAAAAGATGATGAATGCTGAATCACAGGCTAAGCTGTTATTCTTATTCCTGAAGAGCTATTTTAAATGTTGTTTACAGTTTTCTAGCCAAATTAATGTGATCTCAAT